GTGTTTGATATGACTCAAAAAGAGAGCGTCAGGGCATTACCACTATAAGTACACAAGTAAAACCCTATTCAATTTAATTAACGCCTCTTCTCCAAAGCTGATTTGCAAATGTCAACAGTTTCCTTTATATGTGGTGAATGAAAAATATAAAGACCATGAGGTGAAATTGGGATGTGTCCAGTAAAAAAAAAAGGGATATTGTCTATGCTAACATGACTAACAGGCAGAGAACAAAAACATACGGTGGTGTCTCAGCTGGTGATTGTTCTCTGAAGTTGTTCTGCAGCCTTTCGAAAGCCTGTTGTGTTACTCTGAGTCACAGGAGGTGATGACGTTTAGTACCAAGCTCAGTCGAATCACTTAGACCTGACAACCTTCTCCTTATTCGCTGCTGGGCAATGAGGGTAGATCATTTTGCACACATGCAAACTCTAGCTCAGAAAAAAGCTCGTAAATCTATGTGTCCCTCTCTGGTTAGAAATATTTTAACCAAGACAGAGAGAGACTATTTTATACTTTCAGCCTTGGTGGCAATTGAAGGGACGTAACAGGGAGCCGAGAGGCAGCTTAATAAGGAAGTGGTCTCGCACTTAGAGATGCTAGACAGCTGTCAGAGCACACACTCACCCACACATTCACCAGTGACTGTTTCCAGCAGTAATTTATTTGTGTTAGCACCGACAGCTTCTGTGTTTTTCCTTCAGATTAGTTGTATTTGCAGCAGCAGCCCAGAGGAGAAGTAACAGGGTAGATTAGAAACACTGCCTCTGGGATCTGCCCAAAGTGACCACAATGACCACAGTAAAAGCTGCAGTGAGAGGCGATCCACTTCTCATTCACTTGCATCACTGCTGAATTTGGAGCATTTTTGCAATTATTGCAGCACTGATCTCTGCCCTCCCTTTTTTTAATCCTCTGGCTGTTTTCCCAGACTCGGAATTAAGCCCAGTACTAAATTAAAACCAAAATTCAATGAGATATATATAGAGAAAAATGTCCAATTCCTTGTCAAGATAGCAGCTCTCGAGGATGGGCTGTGATGATGGGAGGAGAGGACTCTTCATGGCTCACAGTGAACATACAGTACATGCACACTTGGAGTGGAGTCTTTTCTTGTTTGACTGTCCTCAGGCATGGAAGCAGATTGCAAACACATTAAATAGTAATACTTAATTTATTCACAACCACACGGTCTCTCTCTCTCTCTCTCTGTCTCTCTTTCTCTCATGACATGAAAGCATGTGCATAAAAAACTATTTGTTTCATCCTTTTTAACAAGACATTGCACTTTAATGAGCAACCAGGGCATTGAGCTGCTGGTTAGACCCACAGAGGGCAACGTTTGAGATCACAAACAAAAAAAACCCTGACATTAATAGGATGCAGTCAAATTAGGTTGGGTTTTCTCACCACAGAGAAACACAAAGTTGTATCTATGCGAGCCATACATAAGGGCTACATCCACAATGTTTAAATTACCTTTGAAAACCAAAACAAACCCTGTCCATGTGAGCGTTTTGGCTGGAAATCTGTTTTAAACCCTGTTCATGTTAACACACCTGAAAACATATGTCACGTGACCACTCACGTACACTGGGCATGCACATGCTGGTGTTAATTGGATTTAGTTTTTATAATACCTCAACTCCTGCACATGTAAGCAGTATTATAAAATACAACAGCTGTTAGCAAAGACAACAGGGTCAGCCACCCTTATAATTGATAATCCATGTTGTGTTGAACATTGGTAGGAGCCCAACGAATCAGCAAAGGCTACCTCATGACCTAAACGACCCAATCAGCAAGCAGGCAGGGGGGCGACGTCATTGTTTCCAAACATCTCTGTTCCTGCCAGTCCAGTTTAAAACACAGTCCTGTAGTTTTCAAACTAAATGTGCACCTGACATATAATTGGTCTCTGTGTAAATTGTGGCCCCCTTTCATGGCCCCTGATGTATAAAAACCCTTGATCCGCCACTGAAGCAAAAACAAAGCCATGTGTTCAAAGTGAGAATGTGGTATTTTCTTGAACAATAACACAAACTCCATGACTTTAGACGAACCGTGACATACTTCAACTACAAGGAAGACAGACGGGGAAGAACAGGAACAGGAAGTGGTGTAAAGTAACGCCCACCTGCATGAGTGCAGGTAAAGGATCGATCACGCATTATTCGGTGGGTTGATCAGCTTCAGATACCCGCACACTTTAGTGCTTTGAACAGGTGAAATGGCTCAATAACACATGGTCTGACATGATATCCTCCTGTGGTCTGCACAGGGAAGCACCACCTCTGGACAAACAAACAGCTGCTGAGTAAACAGGCAGAAAACAGGCGACGTCCTTCTAATATCACCGTGAATAAACGATCAGAGACCGGACACACAACACGAGTGTGGCTGTGGGGATCATGTTCGAAACTTCAGACAGAGGAGCTGCTGCGACAACAGGTGTCAGCGCAGGTCTTCCGCACTCACCTTCGTGTAGTACAACATCCACAGCTCGTACAGCCTCTCTTTCGATGCCATCCCGCCGCCCTTGTGGTTGCTCATCGTCTCCCTCTATTCTCTATCTTCTATTAAAAGCCAGGCAAAGTGTAAAGCACCGACAGAGACGCGGCTGGGTGAAGTTCTTCCTTCCCGCACACAGGAGCAGGACGCGGCGCGCTCCTCGCAACCATTCCTGCCCAAATTCAGCCAAACGCAAAAAGAAAAGTGCTCCCCGTGTGTCGACGCGGTGCAAACTTCTCCTCAGAGTGGCGTGAAACAACCGAACACGACCGCGGCTGTGGATCCAAGTCGGAACTGTGAGACCAGGAACAAAAACGCGTGGAAGTAGTGCGTATTTGGAGGAGGAGGAACACCCATGTCCGCCTTCAGGGAGAGCTGCTGCTGCTGTGACTCCTATTGGAGAGAGAGTTCCCACGGAAGCAACAAATGCCCTCCACCACCTAACATGACTGCACACAGTCAGTACATGTGGATGTGCACGGTGCCGTGTGGTGGTGATGAGGATGACCAGGAGCAAATCATCATCAACTGGTGTCAGGTAACAAGGTAGGAAATGACAGTGAGGAGTCTGGCTGCAGATCCTGATCACAGATGGTGCATTACAGGTTTCCTCTGAGTGACAAGCAGTCATTCTGAAGATATGATCAAATATCAATTAATAATCAAATTTATTTGTATTCAACATCACAATTTTGCCCCATAGGACTTCAGAACCTGTGCAAAGTCCTGCAAAAAGTAAAGTCAATCCATTAAAAAAAGAAAACAAAGCATGGAAGGCCGAGGAGTTAACGTGGAGGGATAGTTCACCCAAAATGAAAATTCACTCATTATGCTCACCTCTATGCCGATGAGGGGTGGGTGAAGTTTTTGAGTCCACAAAACACCTTTGTAGTTTCAGGGGTAAACAGTGTTGCAGCGTTAAGTGGTGACCACTTTTTCAAATGTAAAAAATCCCCCATAAAATGCCTCCATACAGCCCTTACTTTCAAATTTGTCTCAAAAATGCATAATTTACATCGTGTTTTTAGTCTAAATGTCTTGCGATACTCATGTTCCTCGCGAGAACTGCAGCAGTAACTAGGAGGAGGATAAGATCAGACATCTAAACTAAAAACATGGTGCAAATGATGCTGTTTCGAGTCGAATATGAATGTTGGGGCTTCCAGACTTGGATAACACCACAGGAGCATGCAGTGTGGAGGCATGTTTTATGTTTTTTTATATTGGTTTTTTTTATGTTTGAAGAAGTGGTCAGCATTTACTTTAATTCTATTGGAATTGGCTGCAACACTGTTTACTCCTGAAAAATGTTTTGTGGACTCACTTTGCCCACCCCTCCATCGGTATAGTGGTGAGTAGATAATGAGTGAATTTTCATTTTTGGGTGAGCCATACTTTTAAAGCTTGATTTGTGCAGTCTGCAGGGTGAAGGTTTTACAGTGCAGAGCAGGCACCATTCAGACACACAACTGAACTTAAGACTCTTAACAACTGCTCATAATGATTCCATGGGTCCTTTGTATAGGCTGTTCTAGATAAATATTGCACAATGATTTATTATAGTTCCGATGAAGACTGTGTCTGGTCTAACTACTGACTGTGAGCCTACAGTCTAATCCAAAAACAAGGGGAAAAAATGTCACTAAGGATAATATTAATATTGCTATTTGTTTTAAATTGATAATATTAAAAAAAGACAGGTTTTGCAAGATGACACTTGTGTATCAGTGCAGTTATTGATGTCGAATCCTGTTTTCTTATTCTCTGACTCTAATGCAATATATATATATATATATATTTCTTTATTTGTTCACCATGTTTTTGCATGTAAACTATAAGGTGTGGTGTCATTTGTTCAATATTGCCATGCACATCATCTCTGGACAGGCTGTCTGCTATACTCATGGACAGTTTACAACCTGTTCCTATCTGCTGAAGTAGGCTGTTGTAGGGTTGTAATTTACAGCCACGGTTATTTTGTCTCTTCCTCTCTCATATATTCAAATGTGATTTATTTATTTATTGGTGTTATCATTGTAGTGTTATGATCTTTAATCTTTATAGCTTATTTAACACTCAGGTCAGAGTCGTGACACAAACAAAAATGTTGGTCATTAGGATGATGGACACAAAGATCGTATTATTACCATGGCGATGGCCTACATTCCTAACCAGGACGTGACAGACAGTGAGCCACTCTATCCAGTGTCTGCCCTTTATTTATTTTTAATTAAATATGTGTTAATAGTCTATTAGTAGATTTGAATAGACTTGTAAAAACATTAGCCTATTAGCTACTGAAAGGTAAATTAAGCATTTCTCTAAGTGCCAATACACTCAAAGTGGCCCAAACATCAATTCATCTGTTGTAATTTTGAACTAAATTACTTAAATAGGGATTTCTTTTGAAAATAATTAAAAATTCTGATCAAAAACAATATCACATGATCAGGCCACTGCAATCGATGTGCTCGACGCTCGTAACGTCCCTAGTCAGGATTACTAATGGAATTCAGAGAGAATTGAGCGGCGTCTGGAGATAAACATGGATCGACATGTGGGCTCCCTGCAGGAACAGGCCCTGAAGAGGAAAGAGAGGCTAAAAGCTCTCAGAAACAAACAAACTCATGTAAGTCAACGGTGTGCTCGTGTGTTGTGTGGGTTAATGCACTTTAAGCCTGGGGGAAACGCGTAAGGGTGTCGGTAACGTTAGCCGACTTAGCTTGTAGCTCACGTTAGCATATCGATGTAGCTCATCGATTTGAACTCTGGTTCGTAGATTTGTTGACGTGCTGAGTGACGACATTGAAATCAATAACGTTAAGTTCAACATTTACTCGTTACGTTTGTTTTGTAGTTGTTGTTTTTTTCCATGTTTTCATACGAGGCTAATATGCGAAGCTAACTCGTATTGGCTGTTTCTCAGACAGTAACAAAGCAGTTTCAATTTCAAGTCATGCAAAGTTTATCTCTTACGTAATAACAACGTAGGATTTGAACAGGTTGTTTTATTCGTGTACACATTTCATGTTTCAATGAGTATTATTACTTTTTAAACCACTATGACAATGAAACATCTGTCTTGTTAGACAAGAGTAGTTTCACCTTGTTGGGTTATTTCAGGTCCAGTATCAGATCAGTCGTGGTTTCTCTCTACTGTTCTCTGAGCCAAGAACTGTAGCTGTGTTTCCTTTTATTATAAATGTCTTCTTCATGTTCAGCAACGCATTTATTTATACGATGATTCAATATCATGCTGAACATCAGAGGAGCAGGATGGATGGTCACTACGGGGACAAGAGCATATATTAAACTTATAGTGCGAGTTCATTCTTTGCAGAATTCTTTGTTATAAAAAACGTTTCAGTTTGGTTGCCCCTGGTCTCGAGGTTATTGAAATATTACAGAGCAAAGAGAAGTTTTTACAGATGGGAATATATTCGGATGTAAACATCTAATCAGATTACTCTGAAGGGTAAAACAATTTACTTGGACTTGGCTATATGTGAGAATGGGAAATCTCTACACACCAGTGGTCTGAATAAGGGCCTGTCACACAAACATTACCTACCTTAAATTGAAAAGTTCGGGGGAGCATCGACAGTTGTGTGGACATTTCTTTGTGTCTTTTGTAAAACTTTAAATGCAATTGATTCCACTAAACAGGGCTGTGTGAGCTGTTTCTTACACGAGCCCATCCACAGCAGGATGTTTGCAAACTTCTCAACCAGCTGCAACGTCTCGGTCAAACCAAAATGATAAAATGATGCGTGTATTTCGTGCTGCTAACTAAATCATGTTCCACAGGCAGGGTTCAACTTTACTCAGTAGATTCTGCTCTCGCTGTGCAACAGTTAGCCATAAATCTGAGTATCAAAATGTTAATCATCATAATCATAAAATTCCTCCAGCAAAGAATTTACAGAATGAGTAACAATTGTCCAAGAGTTTTATCTTATCAGTTGTTTTCGAGATGACATTGTATGCAGAGCTACTTTTGGCCATGATGATTGTAAAGCATCAAACCTTTACATCAACACACACCCTGTGTCTTGACCCACATATTCTGAGAGCAGATTGCGCACCAGAGTTCCAGCGGCTCCTGTCCTTGTAACTGATTCTAAATATCACACAGTTATCCTGCTTCAATATTACAATCTTTTCATTCTGAATATGAATTCATCTTGCAACAGGAAACCCTGTTCAGTTTGTAAGTTGCTGTTTTGGCATTTGGAGTTTCACAGAACAGAAGCTTGGATAGCAATGTCTGATAAATGACTGCTGGAATTCCTGAAGCCCCCCTTTTGTACTGTACTTCAAGAACGAGTCAGTTGCCTGAATTGTTCTAGCAGGTGGAGAGGAAGTCTCTTCAGGAAAGTGTAAGATGGGAGGAGACCAATGTCCTTTGTCACAGCTTGTATTTATTTTTCCTGACTTCTGGAAGCCAAGTTCATCATTTGTTGTCTATGTTTACATATGCATAGTTTAGTAAAGGCCACAGTATGAAGTGCTGTCATAGTTCAGGTAGCATTTTAGCCTTTTTATTTACTCTGTGTCCTGGAACAGCTATTAACCTGTTTCATTGTCTTATAAAGTCAAAGAATTAATATCTAAAATATTTTTAATAAGGTAGGTTTTATTTATGTTAAGATTTATTTAATGCCTGTTCTGTAACACTTAAATATTTGTTATTGTGTTTTTTCCAGAGAACTAACAGAATGCGTAATTTGTTTGAAGTTGCTACTTCACCTTATTTTAATTTATGGAGCAGTGTATAGTGTCTTAAATTCCTTCATTATTAAACTTCACCTCCTTAATAACACAAAGTCAGACATTATCAAGCGCAATTTAAATTCTTTTTGACTATTTTCCTATGCAATTGTTCACCTACTGTATCTTTAATGGGCCAGATCTAAAATGGGCTTTTGCATTCGTACAGCTCAGAAGCCTTTTGTCAATCTACCACACTTCATTCGTCACTTTTTCTGTAATCTCCTTAACATGAACAAAGGTACCTTAAACTTAGCAATGTTGTTTTTGTTTGTTTTTTCAAGTTTTTAACTATTTATTATTTAATCTGCTGTTTCTACTCTGAGAATACCACATAGTAAATACCATGTAATTATTTTATGGATTTTGTGATGATCTTCAAACAGGGCCGAGACCCAGCGGACGGGGAGCCAGAGGAGAAAAAAGCTTCATTAGAGGAGACTGTGGAGGAGAAACACAGGTTGGTTCATCACTTCAAACATTTCACACTGTTAACCTCTTTCACTGAAGCTTTTTTTTAAAGCTGCAAAACGGAACTGAAACTGATCATGAGAACGTTATCTGCTCCTTATCTGAACACCATCTTCTGTGTTTACACCGGGGCCAGAGCACAGCCTTGTGCTATTAACTGCTCAAATATCCTGCAGCTCACTCAACTTTGTGTATTAGGCGACAGGAAGAGAAGCCATCTTTCCTGTCCTACAGGAGCTTTTTTCCATTGTTTATATTTAATGACTGTGCGCTGACGCCCCAGAGGGAGTGCTGCTGTGTTTCCTCCAGTTCAACAGCACAGATCTCCTGTACAAGAGTGAAAATGGCTGCATGCTTTTCAAGCCTAATTTAGAAATGTATCTTTAAAGAAAAAAATATCTTAGCTGAGCTGAATGTTCTAGGTTTTTTAATAATGCTTTGCTAAGTCAAAACTCACATCTGTTGCTGAGCACAGGTGTAATGTATCTTGTTATTAAAATTTCATGGGAGATCAAATTCCCAAACCAAGGCATGAAATAACAAAACAATCAGCACGTGTGTGTCTTTAAGTTGTTCCTATTTAAATCAATGACATATCCACAAGTGTAAGATGTCAAAATAGATCTATCTTGTGAAGAAAGGTTTTACACTACCTATTTGTTTTACATTCATTCAACATTATTCCACAAAAGGCACCAACTGCATCAAGCTGCTTTGTCTATGTGTGAAACGGCTGTTGTTTTCTTGTTATTTAGATTTATAGGCAATTATTTAAAATTCTTGGAAGTAGCAAAATATATATTACATGTTGGTACCTTTTCAGTTTCAGTTACTCATGTGTAAACCAAGAGGCTGGAGTTTGGGCTCGGTAGCTTGATATCAGTGCAAACATTTGAACACGCCATGGCAGCTCCTCCTTAGTCAGTTCACTCTAAATATTTTCAGAAGGCCACACTAGTTCTCTTTGATGCCACAGCGTGCTTGAAGTGGATATGTGTAAACGCACTTGAAAGATTCAGAGACAGTTTGTGTCCTTGAAGCAGCGCTTAAGATGGCCATGTTATTCATCTGTGTGCCTGTCTGTGCCTTAGTCTATAACAGAGCATCTTGACCTGTACTGAGCAGAACAGTGTACATTTTAATTTGGATGTTAATGGTCCCAGAATGTTGATTCCTAATGATGTTTTTGACTTTTTAACAATCAATTATTTTGTCTGCAACAAGTGATCTTAAAAGCATTTGTAGACTTTTCAAATTGCTGTTATATCCCTGGTCCTCATATGATGTATCTTAATGTTTATAGAGAACACTCAACTTTTCATTTGTGTCCCGATTGCACAAGAAGTATCAAAATAAAATAAACACCTTGTAATAATGGTTGCACTACAACTTGCTTGCCCACAGACCAAGTTTGTCCATTTTGCATATCTGCTCTTTTCTCTCAAAACATCTTTAGGCTAAATAAAAAATGTGTACTAGTGATAGTTGATGGCAGAGAAACGCATAACTTGAAATCAAATGATTCCCTGACCCCATGCATCATACTGTGAAATAAAGCCAAGTAATTCACACAAGTCATCCATGCTTCCTGGATGAATAACGCTTTTTTATATTTTTGGGGACTTTATTATAGCACGGTCCTTTCTGCTGCTTTCAGACATGCACTTAACTCCAGACATTCTCCTCAAATAGTGCTCTATCTAAAATATCTAGAGTATGTTTGAGTGATTTCATTTGAGAATACAGCAAAATAATGTCTGCAAAATTTTAAGTTGATGACTTTTCTAACACGAAGAGCAAGCAAAACTGAAAGACAATTAGATAATTGAGCATCGGCTGAAAATAACAGAGGCTGGTGTTGATGTGCTATAACCAAAACACCTTTCCACAGCAGAATATATACTTCAAGTCCTGCCTCCAGCCTGTTCTACCCAGACATCATCTGACGTTTTCCTGTAGTTGGGAATGAGTTTGACAATCCCTTGCTGCATTCATATGGGAAAGGCAAAATGATCCAGACCCAAATGTTCGCACATTTTCCAGAGTTCTCGTCTGAAAATTGCTTCGGAAAGGTGAGAGGAGGAGAGACAAATTTGACTGTTGAACATAATTTAGGTCCGTTCAATACATTCCTTTTATTATAATAACAGCAACCCAGCATCAGTAGCAGCACTGGGACACACTCAGAGGGCAGAGAGGGAGATGGCTGAACTAAGAGTGGACCTCAGTCAGCCACAGGCAGAACATGACCAGCATTCCTGCCCATACCCATACAAGGCATGGGTCTGTCCTTAAGAAGCTGGAGTTTAATGAATGTATGGAGGGTGTGACCTCTCACACAAATCCATGTTGAGCTCAGAACAGCTGATAACCCTCCTGGTTGATGCTGTGTCAGACAATACTTTGCCTCTGCCTCTGCAGAGATGTCAGATGAGGGTTGCCAAGAATTCCTCTGTGTTGAGACTTGATGAAAGACTGTAATTCAACATCAAGGAAAGCATTCCTCAGCTGTGAGCTGCTCTCATTTAGGTCTGTGCCCAGGAGCAGGTGGAAAATCAGAACGTGTTCATACGAATAAAGAGGGACATTATGCCCGGCCCTGCACAGACATTAGATGTGCAGCTGTGCAGGGTTTTCAGATGGTCTTTTTATGCCCCTAAATCTCTAGTGGAATATACTTGTCAACACTGCCACCTCCTGGAATGACAGAGATGATCATGTTTTTGTTTACCACTGAAGTAGACTCAGCTCACTGTATTTCTGTCCTCAGAGAGCTGAAGCTGAGGAATTACACCCCAGAGGATGAAGAGCTGAAGGAGCGACAGGTGCCAAAAGCCAAACCAGCATCTGGTAAGAACTCTTTTCTCACGAACAAGCTTTGAAAACCATTAACTCAGAGTGCTAGTTATTTCTGTTAATGTCATACTTTATTGACATGGCCTTCAGGAACGTCATAGCACATCATCAGCTACTGGATGGCACATCGTGCGTCCTACTCACAGACTCCTGCTGCTGTTGTCACACGTGTTTTAAAATTGATGACAACCTCTTCTTGTTTACAGTGGAGGATAAAGTTAAAGACCAGTTGGAGGCAGCTAATCCAGAACCCATCATTGAAGAAGTGGTGAGTCAATCTTTCAGGGTAACTGTGATTTCATTCATTGTTGCATCAGTGGCTACTGTATTAAGCTGTTTTCTTCTTTCAGGATTTGGCCAACCTCGCTCCGAGAAAACCAGACTGGTAAGACAGTTGTGAAAATGATCATGCATGAAATCTTGACATAATAGAAGATAATTTGCAATAATTTGTGATGCCGTCTTGTCATTTCGATTCTGAATCTAGGGATCTGAAACGTGATGTGGCGAAGAAGCTAGAAAAGCTGGAGAGGAGAACACAGAGAGCCATCGCTGAGCTCATCCGTCAGTATTTCTTATTTTATCAGACGTCACAGAGGCCGTGCCTGGGCGAGGCGTGAATTATTAGGCCAATTGCTCTGTGATTTGCAGACTCCACAGAGGTTTGCAGCCGTCTGGTGACATCAGTGTGATTCCCCCACTGATGTGTGATCCACATTCTAAAAATAGACACACATCAAAAAACTGGTATAACTGTCAGGAGGTTTTCCCTGTGGGACGATCATTTGTCACCTTTATTTAATTATCTTAAGAATCAAGGAAGCCATTTTCTGTGAACGTTTAGTCATAGTAACCCGTTTAATTGAAACGGTCACTCCTTAAAATGTGGTTGTAATTTATTGTGCTAATTCAGACATCACAGCTACTTTTTAAAGAAATGTCTTCCGCTTTAGAAGTAACTTTGCACTTGTGATTGGGAGATCACCACCATATTCTGCTGGGACCTGTGATTGTGTATTCAAGGTGTTAATGGGGCATGTTATCAGGTCTGAATGGAATGATGGGGTGAATTATGAATCAGATTGACTTCCATGTTTTTTATATTTGCATTTTATCTTTTGTGTGGTTCAGGGGATCGTCTGCGAGGCAGTGAGGAGGAACTGGCTGGAGCGGTGGGAGCAGTAGGCCGGGAGGAGGGAGACTCAGACTGAATCCAAGATGTGACAAAAAAATAAAAAGACGACCATGGAGAATGAGTGGAACACCACCGTGGTGGTCTGACTTTACTTGGACTGCACCATCACATCTGTGTTGTGCTCAGAGACACGGCTGCAGGAATAAACCTTCCAGTCAGGTCTTCATCATCGTGTTATAACATATAAATATGTAGTAGCACATTCTGTATATGGGGTACATTGATGTGCAATCATCAATATTATTTTGTATTTTTTTTATATAAAGTAAAATGATATGATCTTTTTTCAAATGTCTGATTATTCTTTCTTTGTATTTTCTATTTATTCTAGTCAATCTCAGCTGTCAATCTTGATGTTTAACCCCATTTTTATAGCATCAAATAACTAATTAAAAACAAACTTACAGAAAAATGGATTTGATCTTTTAGTTAAGTGTATATCTGCGCACATGGAGGAGGGGATATTTATGACCTGTACTGCAACCAACCATCACGGGTCTATTGGGACACTTTGACTTCCCTTTTAGGAAACTGTCATGTCCTCCATCTTTATATACTAACTATCTAACAGTATGAGACACAGTACATGAAATTTCCAACATCTATTTCCCAACAGAGAAACTGTTGTCGCTAAACATCCAATCAAAGAAAATACACTTTTTTAAATACATCGTGTTTATTCAGAAAATTATCTGAAAATGTACTCTAATCAGGATGTGACCTCTATGGTAGTTACAGCAACGTTAATGTCTTGCTACACTTGAATCAAGTTAATTTTGATCCAATGGGTGACAGAGGAACAATGATAACAGATAATAGGCTTTTTCTGATATGACATTCACTAGTGATATCTACTGCAAGCACCTGTAATATACCTGGTCTGAACTGAACCACTCCTTTCACAATAAAGTGCATCTTCTGTCCACATCGACCCACACAGCCTCCTAATGAAGAGGATATTACACAGGTCATTATATTATTACCACTCTGGTACAAGGCCACCTGCCTCCTTCAATGGCGTCCCTCTTTTCCTCAAAGGCAAATAATCAAGGCTCTAAAGAGAAACAAAGAATCCACTCGCTGCTTCTCTGAAGTTCACAGAAACTACACAAATGTGATTTAAGTGTCACTGAAATGATTAATAGCCCATACTTTTGCTACAAGAACAGATTCTCCTACACAACTACAACCTTTCCAAAATATACAACGCTGGATGTAGCTCACAAACTACAGACATTTATAGCGAGATGATTAGTACTGAAAAAAAGGGGGCTGGTATCTTGGCACTGGAAGCTTACTAAACCTGTTTGGTCATAATGCTGCTCTGAACACTGATGATCACTGAGAATATGGTTATTTCCTGGATTTTGGTATTTAATACAAACAAAGTGAGAAACTGTACTTCAAGGATGCATCATATCTTGACACTGATGCAGAGTCTGAGGTTGTTTTGAGATAAAGGGTTACATTGTGTCAGGAGCTGATTGGTTGGTGTTTTGGTGCCACGTAGACCTCCCACATATTTAGCCCTTGAGCAGCGTTGCTGTTGATCTTGTTGTAACTGTAGCTTTATGAATCATCAGTAGGACGGGCGATAATCGGTTTGATGCGTTCATGGCTCCCTGGTGTTTCTTGACTGTCAGTCACAGTGCCCTCCACCAGACTCAATCTTCCTGGCTGCAGGGCCCAGCTCCACCTTGCAGACCCTCTGGGCAAACTTCAGTGAGCACAGGGTCTCTCCCACATTACTCTCCAGAGCAGACACCTGCAGCAGAGAAACCAAAGAAGTCTCACAACAAGCATGAACAAAGACTTGTGATGTTATGTGCTGCCAAAAGTCAAAATTGTAAGACAGGAAATCTATAAACGCAGAGTCGAGATCTTACCTGCACCACCATGACGGTCTTGCTGCCTTTACCCAGGGAGTCTTGTAATAAATATGTAAGGCGGGAGTTCCTGAAGGGGACGTGAGTCTGCCGAGCTCTCAGTGCCTGAATTACATCCCCCAGCGACAGCAGAGAGCGGTTGATATTCTGAGCCTCCTTCAGCCTCTCTCCCTCCGCACCAGACTTCCATACCCTCTCCGAGCCAGCCAGGTCCACCAGGTTCAACTTACCTGAGGCAGAAAATGCAAATTCAAAGTGATTGATGAAATGAAATAGAGTCATCTCACATGCACATGTGCCTGACTGACTCCCTTTTTTTGCTTCTCCGTGCTGTTTTCTCTCAAATCAGCAACTCGACGACCGTCACTTTTAACTAAACAGACATTCAATTTGAAACACTTTCTATGTAGGAACCAACAATGCATGTGTGACTGACCAGTGGTTTTGGACCCTGTGGCGAGGTCAGTGCCCTGAACCGTGATACAGAGCAGAGCATGGGAGCGTGAGCTGTGCTGGTTCATCTGAGTGCCAAAGGTGATCCTGTTCCTTCTAGCTGTGGCTAAAATCTGTTTTAACACAAGAATATTCAGCATCAGAGTTACAATTCGTTCCTAACAGTGATTCATTAAATCAGTGAAAGTTTAAAACACGGTTTGCAAACATCTGTCACCTTCTTAATGTGCTGAAAGCTCTTCACTTCTATGACCCTGAGGCCCGGAACATGCAGCTGTCCTGTTCCGTCCGGGTTGATCTTAATGTCCAGTTTCTCTCCGTCCTTACTCAGCAAGTCTCTGACAAACAGAATAAAACACAGGCAATAAAACATCCACCGTCTAATCCTCAATCCTTCACGCTCACATTCACATCTATGGTCAATTTAAAGTCTCCAGTTAACCTCACCCCCATCTGTCTTTGAACTGTGGGAGGAAGCTGGAGTATCAGGAGAAAACCCACGCAGGCGAAAGGAGAACATGCAAACTCCAAACAGAAAGGACCCGGCTGGACCAGGATTCGAACCAGTGACCTTCTTGCCATCATGGTGTAACTCACCTTAGCACCTCGTTGTAGATCTCCACAGAGCTGACAGTGACGGTGTAAGACCACATGTCCTTCCTCTCTTCGATCTCACTGAAGAGATGTTTCAGGGCTCGCTGGTTGATGCCCGGGTTCTCCACACTGCCCTGGAAATCAAACATACTTAGCTTGCAACCCAAATTATAGACCATCACTCTGTGACAGCAACAGTTAACTAGAGACTATACCTCCATGGTGTGGGTTTTTCCAGAGCCGGTCTGTCCATATGCAAATATACAGACATGGTATCCATCGATGCAGGACGTCACCAGAGGCTCGATTTCCTGAAAGACCTGGTGGAGGTAAATGAAGAGTTAGAGTTGGTGTTGTGATTATATTTCCTTCATACTCACAAATGTTCCTCTTCACTACCTCTTCCTGTGTGGCCTGAGGGTGGAAGACCTTGTCCAGTTCAAAGATGCGACCCTTCCCTTTGTTCAGCACGCTGAGGGAGGATTCGTTGTGAGGGTCTGTCGTCACCACCACAGACTGGCCCTCCTCATGTTGGTCCTCCTTCAGCACAGGCTTCACTCGACACAGCACGCGGATGTTGCCTAAAAACAGATGGGCCAACTCAGTGAGACATTTGACTTTTTTCTGCAGAGGATTTCTATTTCCACGTTCCTCCTCCACATACCTTTAAGTTCCACCAGCTGCTCGTGGTACTTCCTGCGAAGCGCCACCTCTTTTCTGTACTTCTCCAGGAGGTCTTGATTGGCTTCAGACATCTCATGGAGAGCTGCTGAAATCTGACAGAGAAATGAAACAGGAAAACTCTTAACAATGTTTTCTGATTCCCTGAAATTCAGCAGACAAACTCATGACGTGATGTCGCAGTGTGTACCTGTTTTTTTGCTTCATTTATAGCTGATCCGTAAAAATCGGAGAAGTTACGAACTTGGCTCCTCAGACTGGCGTAGTCAGTCTTCATAGAGCGTAAAGTCGGTGGGAGGGATGTCAGACGCTTCTGCAAGGCTGCAAAAAAACAAAAAAAAGAGTTTTTCTTGTGTTTTTAAATCAGGATCTCTTTCTTTAGGTATTTAATTATGTGTTACTTACTGAAAAATTTGTCCTGCAGGTTCTGGAAGTGTTCTGCTGAGCAGTGGGCAGCAGCCTTCACAGCTTCCTCCTTTCTCTCCTCCAAGTGGCCGATCTCTTTCAGCAGCTCCTCTCTCAGTTTACTGATTTCTCGCTCATACGCTGCAATCTGTAAAAGGATCGTCACATCGCTTAATCAATCTGTCAACACGATGGGTCCGATCTGTGCTGGTTCAGCTCTGTAATGAGTTGGTCTGTCGATGACATTGATCCAGGTTTTGAATTTCCAGCAGTGAAGTGGAAATTTACTCTTACTGTCTCTTTCATTTCATTTAATCACCGTTGATGGCATCTGTGTTTTCCCTGGCTCTCAGTGGATGACAGCCCACAGTAATGATTTGTACACTTATGGATATTTGGCATTATTATGGAGCATTATTGTCTAAACCCCTGTAAAGATTTATGTCCTTTTTGCTGCTGATGTTTTACTTACATAAACACAGGTCGTAAAATGGATTTATTCAGCCTGGGGAGGTGAGCGTGAATTCTGCGATGGTTACCTTGTGCTGCAGATTACAGCTGTATTCATCAGATTTCCGGATCTGGTCCTCCAGCTGTTTGCACCGCTCATTCTGACTCGCCAACTTTTCCGACAGCAGCTCGTTCCTCTGTCTGGTTTTACTCAGCTGCTTCAGTGTGGCAGGAGATTCTACCTCCACAGTCTGGGTGACATACTGGGAATGAAAAGAAAACATCTGGTTAGGATCAGCTACTCTAAATAGAGCTTATACATGCGTCACACTCAGATATCAGTTCCCTAAATATACCAGATTGGTTTTTATCAAGATCCATAAATGATTCCCTGGGAAATGGTGAAAAAATAAACCTGGATCCACCCTTTTGTCCAGATCCAAATTTTAAAATTGAATGGGGTCGCATCCTTCCACCAAGTTTCGTGGAAATCCAATTTGTAGTTTAGCGTGATCCTTCCTGCCGACAAACAACCAGCTAGAAAACAGGAGTGAAAACAGTAATTACCTTCACCGCTGGCTCCTTTCCTCTCTCTCTGTCCAACTCCAGCTGCAGCTCCCTCACTCTGTCCTCTCGTTTCCTCAGCTCGTCTCCTCTCCTCCACTCGCTCTGCTCGCTCTTTCGCTCCAAATGTGAAAGCTGCTCGGCACGCTGTTGCAAGGACATCTCCAGCTGCTGCACTCGGCTGCGGAGGTTCTCGTTCTCCTAGCAGAGAATAGGAAACAGAGTCAGATGCGAGTGTTTGTGTTTGCAGTCACTAATGGCTGCACATCGGTGAGTCTCACCTTGATGAGCATGGTGCTGGACTGGGAGGGGATGGCTGACAGCTGCTGCAGGAGGCCTTGAGTGACGCTCAGGTTTTGTTTCAGACTCTCGTTTTCAGCCGACAGACACAGGACTCGCTTCTCAGAGTCTGTGGCCCCCTGAGGAATTTCAATATAAAGATCAATTCCAGCATAACAAAAACAGAGATGCATCAAAACAAAAATGCCTTGACAACCTAATAAATCAATAGTTCACGATACTTACGGTAGCTGTTCTCAGTCTTGAGAGCTCCTCCTCACGTTCCTCTATGCAACTCTTCAGCTCATCAATCTGTGAAGGGAGTTAATTAAAAAGTTTCCTCAAAACGGTTTAATTTGAGAATGTGGACATTAATTTTAATATTTGTAGCATAATGTGAAGTTTTATATAAATCTTCTTTTCTTTTCACATCTAAGCAGAAAGTCTCTAAAATGGCAGTAGGGGAGATTAAGGGGCACCTTCTCTTTCTCAATACAAACAGACATATAGTAGATACAAATAAATCAAATTCTACTAATAGTTAAAAGTCATTAATGGAGAAGTTGTGACAGATAATTCTTTAACTCAGCCTACCTGCTGCTGAAAGGCCTGTACGCGAGAGTGTCGGTCCCGTTCCTTCTGCTCCAGCTGCGAGTGCAGCAGACGGAGTTCACCTCTCAGCTTACTCCTCTCACCCTGAAGGCCATACAGAGACTCCACCAGCCCGTGAACCCCGGCTTGTGTCCCTGCATCAGTGCTCGACTCACCTGGAGGAAACAAATAGTTACTACTGTCGTCGTCGTCGTCGTCATCATCATCATCATCATCATCATCATCATCATCATCATCTTCATCATCACCATCATCATCACCATCATCAGCCTAAACATTGGCTGCATTAATATCAGCGAAATAAATAACTATTTATTCATCCAATATCCTCTGAACTCCCTCTGATCTGTTTTCTATATGTAGGCTCTTCAGATAAAACTGATTTACACAGTCAGTTCGAATGCTTGTGTTAATATTAATGAACATTAAGTTTACACACCCTCCATTCACAGTCCATTGCAGTTAAGTAAGCATTTTCATTGGCATGTTTCCACTCTTAAGTCTCCAGGGCAACTAGGCCTCACGTGCAGCATGCTTCAAACGCAGACCCAGGATTCACATCTATAAACGCATCAATGTGCAAAACCTCCTCTGTTGTTCCACAGGTACCTCGGCACCAGCAGCAGCACGCCCCGTAGCATTTTAATCACTTTCCTCCTCCTCAATGATTTATCATGCTCTGTCCCTTTTCATTTTCATGGCGGTGCTCTATGCTAATTTTAATATCACGGCATGTCAGGTCTACTGTGTCTCAGTGGTGCAGAGAGAGGTGGTGATGATGCCAGGGGGAAAAAAAAAAAACATGGAGGCGAGGCTACAGCTGTGCATCCACACAGGGGTGATTACAGAAACGTGTTTTCTAGATAAAGTGAAAGAGCTTTTCTAAACTGACATTTCCTTCATCTAGAAAACAGAATGAAAAGAAGATAAAAAAGTAATAATAATAATATGGAAATATTTCACATCCAAGACAGCAACCCTCCTCCACCTTGACCTGCACGTTGCATCACAGTAAACAAACAAGGCCTTGTAACACTGGGACATGGACCCCAGGCTATTTTTAGTTCGACACAAGAGCACGTGGAGCCGAACATGTGCCAGAGCTTGCAAGTGCATTTGCGGGGAATAAAACAGCACTCACAGCCATGTTTTATTCACAACGCAGAGTCCCTGTCCATGTGCAACGCACTCATGTGTCACACAGGCGTTTATGTTTGTCCTGTAACTAACGAGAGGCGGCCTGCCTGAGGTCCTCCACTGAACACACCCACACACTGAGATGTATATGACCTGCTCTGGTTATCATACCTGCTATCATGCATACTGGCACATTACTCTGAGGCTGCACCAGTCAGCCTGAGGACAGGAGTCTGATCTGGAGTCATGCACTTGTTAACGTCCTGAGCAGATGGAGTCTTTGGGGTTTCTCTTGTGCTCTGAGGTCAAACAACCACCTGGTTAAGTCTGACATGCACAAGATACCAAATTTAAAAGCTGTGAGGTCAGCCACAGCTTTACGGTGTCGGCCCAGCCTCTGTGACATCACTGACGCCAACTTGATTTGATCCCACACAAATCTAATCAGTCCGCTCTCTTTGAGGTGACTGTATTCTTCCATGAAAAGATGTGTCACCAGTTGAAAAATCGAATCTTACTGAGAGAAGATTGGAAAAACCACTTCACAGCACACTGAAATAAATCTTAAAACCTGAATCACCCCCCTGATATTAGAAGAAATCCCTCCCTTCAAATGAGCTCTTCTCGAATCCTGTTCACATTTTTAATCTTTTCTATCTATATGTATATACAGTATATTCATCCTCCTCCTAATGTATCTTCCTCCATCCATCACATGATCTCATCCAATCTCAAGTCTCACATCATAAATCACCTCTTAGCACTTTACTGTCCCTCTTTTCCCACCAATCTTCCCTGTTATTAAAACAACCCCATGACCTCCCCCATCTCTCTTGCACCTTAATTTCACCTTCCCACATCCCTCCTTCCCTCCTCACCCTCGCTCAGTGGGCTGGGGGACTGCTGCTGGCTGATGGCGTCCTCCAGGCCGCTGATGATGCTGCTCTTGTCCCTGAGGCGCTGGCGGTAGGAGGCTCGCAGGGTCTTCATCTGGCGGCGGTGCTGGACGCGGTGTCTCTTCAGCTGAACGCGGTACTGGTCAGCCTGCTGCTGCAGCTGCTGGAAGTGGGAGTACTGCTCCAGAAAACTCAGCAAGTGGGACATCACCGCCACCAGGGGAGACTCCGCCAACTGTGTAGTGCACGCACACACACACAAAGTTCAGTAACACTACAGAAGCTCCTCTCTGGGGAACTGTGGATTGATGTTCCTGCAGCTCAGTCATGATTCCACAGTTTTGATACCTTTCCTGTTGTTTCTAGCTGAACCTGTGAGACCCGTCTCTTCTCAGTCTCCTGTTTGAAGGACAAAAAGGCAGCCAGAGGAGTGCATGCTGGGAGGTCAGGACCATCTACTTCATCTTCGTCACTTGGGGACATTTCATCACTGTCACTGCTGCTGCCTGGTTGACAACAACCCCCATTAATGTGATGTATGTAAATTAATCAATTGACAGAAAATATCAATATCATATGTCAATACAACATTGTACTGCTGTATAAATAGTGAGCACTCACTTGATTCTCTAGAGCGAGCACAAGATTTTTTCCCCATTTTGGGGGTGTGGCCATCTCTCCTCCTGCTCCCTGTTTCCATGGAAACAGGTCCTGGCTCCTGAGTACAGCATCATACATGAGGGTCAGACAAGCACAAAATATTTACATGTTAAATACATAGAAATGCAGATAATTACATGCAATGATGCTACCAACATGGAAACCTTTATGAGGGAGCCTGTAACCTTGTTGTTTTACTGTCATATAAGTAAAACATCCATGTCCCTCCTAAAAAATGCTTTCCTGACAGACTACCCCTGAGGATGGACATGATGTGGCTAGACATACGTCTGAGGAAGCTCCACACGCTCCCTCCAGGGTGTCATCCTCCTCCTCCTTCTTAAAGACAGTGTAGAAGATGTAGACTAAAAGGGAGTAGAAGGCGTACATCTCCACGCCACCCAAGAGTCCCTGTAAAGGACAACAGCCACATTCAAGTCTGTCATGCAGCAGTAAAGCACAAAAGCAATTATCTTAATATTACATTATATAATATTATTAACACTTGTGATGCATTATGGTTATATTGATCTCAATACACCAGTGCATCTTTTTGCTGTCTTAACTGTCATGCAACTCCCATCGTGCAATATGCTTCATCTTCTTTACCTTGTTACATATCGTCTCGTCTTAGGTGATCATAATTTAATATTCCCATTGTTTGTATTCCCCTTTCTTCTCCATCCGTGTCGACAATGACAAATCTTTTTGTGCAGCCCTTGTTCTCAGAGCTGCAGCAGCATCCCGGTGCTATGTGCAGCTCCTCTGTGGCTCCCTCTCAACTGTTCTCTCTCCTCCCCTCTCTCCTCCTCCTCCTCTCCTCTTTGCTCCATCCACAGGCTGCAGCTGCAGGGAGCATGCCCACTGCAGTTTCCTGATCTGCTGCAGCAGGGGAGTGAAAGATGTTAGTGTGGAGCATTTTAATATACAGTGTTATGGAGACTGTTTAAGCTGTTGGTGCTGACACCAGCAGCTTTAGACACCCATTCATTAACTACAGCTCTTGTCCTTTAAAGGGTTGTGGGGTATTGGTGTCAATATCTGCTGACATTGGGCTAGAAGTAGGGAAGACCAGTCCATCACAGCCCTGACAAAAAAACTATTCACACTCACATTCATCCTGAGACAGAGGTATGAACTGTGCCAGGTCCTGGGTTCTCGTGTGGGATAATGTACTAAAGAAATACTGGGATGTCGGATGAAGTCGAAAGATTATAAGTGGCACAATAGGTGGACAGGTGAACATGAAGTACGAAAATGCAATGTAACATTACAAACAGTGACTGTGACATTTAGATTATTTATTCAAGACATGTCTGCTTAGTTTATATTTTTCTATTTACAAAAAGAAAATTAATAAAAAAAAACAATTTTAAACGTTGCCAATAAATCATAGGAACTGAATGATAACCCATTACAACAAAAAACAGGCGGCACAATCATAGTAATTATATTGGCACTCCAGACTCACAAATGTGCCCATAAATTATTGTTCACATTGAAAGTACCGCTAGTGACCTTAGTGTCTTGAGTTCTGACAAAGACAGAGCGTCCCAGACAGGAACAGAGACATGCACATATAATGCAGTGAAACTGCTGAGGCAGCGGCTCACAACAAATCCTTGGAGAGAATCTGCAGTGTCCACTGCAAAACTCTGTAAAAATATATCAATTGCCTGCAAGGGCAAGACTGTGGCCAAACACAATTATACAGACACTATTAGGTAGAGGTTAACCGAACAGATGAGGTCATTTTAGACAACATTACAGCCGCTTAACACTAAAGCCACATAAAAAAAGATGCATCGATACATAGCAAATTGACATGACGAGGTAAGAGCAGGGCCAAGAGCTCAGACCACTGCAGGTGTTTTAACTGCTGAGGCTGCAGGACAAACAGAACCTGAGGCAGCTGGATGCTGTTAGAAACACTAAAGCTGTTAGAACAGAGATATGTGCAGCCTGAGATTAAGTGCACGTACACTGAGATGATCATAGGGGACATTATAAATGTCACCCAGGCACTTCCAGTACACCTAATACCACCACCAGGAGCAGCAGGTTATAACATTTCAGTCACATACTCTTATGCAAATGAACGTTTTCAGTGGTATCTGTCTTTTGTTTATTCAGATCAGTTCATACAGCGTTCAGACAAGGTCTCGGTGTAGCAGCTACTGTATGAACCAATAAACTGTGAATTACTAGGATGAGAGACCATTTGAATAGAATTTATCACTTTTAGGCACATGTGATGATCTAAAGAGCAGAATATTCTGGTTATTGTGATAGTAATCCCTCTAACTACAAGGACTAATTAAGTCTATGAACATTCATACAGTATATAAATGAATATGATCTTTTTAGTCCCTGAGATCTGCAGTCTGGTGCTGCAGCCAAACATTATTTTTAACTACTTATCAAAATACCTGTCTCTATTTACCAAAGCCCAATGTTTCAAATTATTCATTTTGTCCCAATAATGATTTAAAAGCCACAAGATATTTAATTTGTAGAGATGTAAATAAGGAAAAGCAGCAAGTACAAGCAGTTTTAGAACCTTGGATCAGCTTGTTTTGTTTAATGATTTTTACTTGCTTGGTTAATCGATTATCAAAATTGTTGCCAATTAATTTTCTAACCTCTGAAAATGTTATTAACTGACAAACATTATATAAAAACAAAATATATTTCCCTTACAAATCTTGTCCTAAAAGCTTATAAGTTAGATATGTTAAATTTCTGTATCCGGCATCTGTCTTTGCAGCACTTGACAATGCAGATGTGGAACCAGATTTTGACTAATCACACAGAACTCCACTGATTTACTCAATGCTGATGTTACATTGGTCGGTCACGTCCAAGAGAAACTTGCCAAGGGCCTTCGTTGAGGCCCAGCAGCCTATCGATAAGGCCCCTTTTAAAAGCCATTTCATCAGTCCCTCAGAGGCAGCCGGAGACATGAGGGGAACCAACGTGTTTGTCCCAACCTGGGGAGTCACAAGTAAAGGTAGACTGAGGGCCACACCACCTAGGGCCCCTAACGCATTCCCAGCAAACAGACACACCATGAGGCAGCAGGAGAGAGAGGACAGGCCCAGGCAGCAGGTCATCATAGAGAGAGCGTCTGCCGAGAGCCAGTCGCACAGTCCCAGCAGCAGACAGGAGCCACACAGGAGGATATGTGCCGTGTTGTGGTCTTGGCTGAGCCACAGGAAGTCAAAGGAGACCAGCGCTGGGGCCAGAAGCTCACCAGCCCACTCTGCTTCTCTCTGGAGGACGATCAGCTGTGAGCTGGACGGCTGCAGGACGCAGACTGCTGCAGAGAGTCCAAGCAGGAAAAGGCTGACTGACGGAGCTCTGTGGTCCTGCAGAGACAGAAGAAAAAGTACAGAGTGAGACTGAGGCTGGGTGATGATTAAACTTCTCATGTCAGTCAAAGTCGATAAGTCTTAACATCTCTGTATGAGCAGGGAATGACAAACACATACATGAATAATGAATAAGTAATCAAATAGAAATGATGGTTAATCACACAGTGAATGAAGCGTACCTTAAAGAGTTTATAAGAGCAGCACAGAGCAGTGACAGACAGCAGGATGTTGGAGCATGAGGTGACCCACTGTGTCACACAGGACGCCATTGATCGGGATCCTGAAGCTGAGGTCGTGCAAACATCCACGACGTCACCGACGTTTCCGTCACTAATGGTAACAGAGCAGGTCGGTCAGCTTATCACGAATGTGTCTGACGTCATTTAATATTAATGTAACGTGTATATGAAGCTGAGGTTGTGACGTATGACTCAAATCGAAGCGAAACGCGCAGCAAGAAACTTCAGGTTTGTTTGTTTGGACATGTGACCGTAAGGAACTGGACACTGCGCATGCGTCAAAGAGAAGCATTCACTTGTTCTCGTAAACACTAAAACTATTACCAGCAGAATTATTACCGGTAGTGTTACTGTCCAAAAATAATTTTAACATGTTCTTATTGATAATTTATGCTGTACACTCCATTGCTTTTTTTGCAAAGCACTTTAAACTGAGACTTTTTTATAAACTAGAACTCTGAATGCCTATATACATTTTAAAATGAATAATTATCTATATATATTTATTTTTTTACCAGCAATGACGATTTAAAATCGAAATTTTGATCAATTAAACAGATCAAATAAAGCAGAAACAACATTGTATGGGTTAATTTTAAGTCAGTTGGTAGGAAACAAAACAATATGCTCAAATTGTTTGTTTCCTACAAACCGTTACAAAATAAGCAGAATGATAAACTTAAATACGAACTATCAATGTTGAGGCTGAACTCAGGAGTCGTGTGATTCATGGTTGAACTCTGTGAAACAGCAGGGGGCGGTAATGTACTTGGCCAAATAGAAGTTGTCGTTTTCCCGACAGCACGTGAAGGCAGCAAAAGTTCGAAAAGTATGGCGGCGGAGTGTTTGACAACAATAACAGAGAAGTGGATACGGGACAGACTGCGATTAAAACACCCGTGTCTGAGTAATATTACCTCCTTTAAGTAAAAAATGTTTATCAAACAAACGTTTAAAGTGAAGCCACGACGCTCTAGCTCGTGTAACTTAAAATAATAGCAGCTTGTTGTCGGTAGCTAAGCTAACGTAGCAGCAGTAACTGTCCCATGATGCAAAGCACAGCACCAGAGTCATGGAGCCGCGGTGTAATATACAGTCTATGGGCGTAGCTTTGTTTCTGATATATATTGAACTTGTGTTTGAACAGGTGATGTCCGCTCGCTGAGTCTCCCGGGGACATATGAGGAGAAGATCAGACATCTGGGAAATGCTCTGAACAACTTCGTCCGTCTCAAGTCTCTGGATCTGTCCTGCAATGCTCTCGTCTCTGTTGAGGTGGGCTTAAAAAACGATACTATACTATTTACCCATTATAAAACCTAACCTTTATTAAACTGTGTTTGTTCCAATATACAGTATTTGAGCAATAACAATGTGAATTAAATATAATTATCATCAATAGCGATAAAACGAAAGTCCAACATGCACCCATACAATGCAATTACATGGTGAGCATAAAGCCTAGTTTATGCTTCTGCGTCACGTCTACGCCGTACCTACGCCGTAGGTCGTTGAGCATTCGAAGTTCTGCGTCGAGGGAACGCGTTGCTCTGCAATTCACCGCCATGCCGCTAGGGGGTGTAGCGGTGTGTTTGTGTGGTTATAGCCGAATCCTCGCTTTTTCTTCCGTAAAGTAAACAACAGTTAAACAATGGCGACCGAGGTGGAGCAGCTGTATTTGTTGTTGGAGCTCATCAATATTGAAGAACAAATGCTTATATTGCAAATGTTGAAGCGCAAGCTACAAAGAAAACGTTTGCGGAGCTGGTTTTTACGACGAGGAAGAAAGACCGGAAAAGCAACCGCCGGAACTTACGTTCTGAGCGGACCAATCACAGCGCTTACGGTCCGCGTCGACGTCCGCGTAGTTAGGATTTTTGGGAGGCGCACGTCAGGCTACGGCGTAGGGGTCTGCGTCTACGCCGTAGCTACGCCGTAGCTACGGCGTCGACGTGACGCAGAAGCATAAACTAGGCTTAACACACAACTGATCTACGCAGATTTGTTAAATGTTTATTAAGTGTTTGTCATAAAAAACACAATCTTTAAAGTCTTTAAACGTAAAAGAAATAATACAATTAAATTGCATGTGATAATTGTCAATCTTGACTAGTATGAACGTTTTTATCTTGATATAATTTATAGCATCAGGAGAAATCGCCTCATTACACAGTCTGGTAAATCTCTATCAAGTTGTTTAAGCAAATGCTTTTACACGTTGAGTTATATAAATTCAAGACGCCTTGTTTTTTCTATGGCTTGTTTTTTTAACTAAAAGGCAAATGGAAACATTCTACACGTCTCGATCCTCATTTTATCCATGCTTTATAAATGTTATATCAGATTTATTTATACCAAATTAAAGCCTGACATTTGGAATCTCATTTCATTTGAGATGAAACCCTGAAATCTCCACAATAATTTAAAATAAAATTTCAGAAAAGTCCAATACACAGTATTAACATGAGTGACTGACTGACCAACCAAAGAGTTGTTGTATTGTCATTGTTGTCCTCTTCTTTTAAATCTAAGACATTCCTGTGTAACTCCAAAAATTCTACTTTATGACAACATGGTGCCTCTTTCAAGGGAATATTAATTGGATAAAAAATGTATCACACACTGAACTCAACATGCATTTTCTCAAACTTTCATTATAAGTATTGTGGAAAAAACAGCGGCATTGTCAGTAATTAATTGAATTAAATCGTTTTGCCTAACACCTGTTTAAACTTCATCTGTTTCTTTCCAGGGAGTGCAACACTTGAAATCGCTGGAGAGGCTGATCCTGTACTATAACTGCATACCCTCCCTTGAAGAGGTGAAAGTTCTGTATGAGCTAACATCTTTGAGAGAGCTGGACCTCCGACTCAACCCTCTGACCAAACGTTACCCAAACTACCGTCCTTACGTGGTGCATGCCATGCCCAATCTATGCAAGCTCGGTAAGATGTGGCCCTTTAAGAGCACAGCCTGGGGTGCTCTTCTAAGACAAGTTTGACTAATAAGTGTCCTCCATTCGTCTCCAGATAGCTGTTCAGTCAGAGACACTGAGCGCAAAGCTGCCATAATGCAGTTCTCCTCTGACATTTTACCTACCCCTAACCCAAAGGCCTCTGGTCAAAGTCAGGGTGAAAACAAAAGGTAATTATATATATATATCATGTAACAATACGGAATATGTGGAGGTTTTAAATGACAAAAGCTATGTAACCTTGATTGGTCTTTATTGTGGTTTCCAGAAGCAGCGATGCGAGACTGGCTCTAGTTAACCGCTTGACCAAGAGGCTCTCTCTCCTGACTGAACCCGATGATATTGTATTAAACTTTGTGGAGATGAATCCTGGAGACCAAAGGGAAACTATCTCTAACTCTGTTCACAAGGAGGCAGAAAGTAAGATGCCAAAGTCCAGCAGTTAATTCTCATCTGCATTTCATGTTTTGTCTACCAATTTCAAACCATCTTCTGTCTCAGAACCTACAGATGAAGAACCAAAAGATTTTACAGAACAGTGGAGCTCAACTCCAAAACTGGTGACTTCCTTTTGCTGTTGGTGAAACAATATCACCAGTAATATATTTGCATTAACACACATTCTGTATGTACTCTATTTCTTTAAGGAAACCGCTAAATCCATCCTGAGGTTTCCCCCCACAAAACATGGCAAGTGTTCTTTTTTAAGTTCTCGATAATGTGCAAAACCACCACTTGGGGGAGACATAATTCTCCCTTTGGATTTTTATCATGGATACAGCCTTTCAATTGAAGGCCAATTAATATATACCACACTTATATTGTGTTGTTTGTAATTTACCAGATAACACCGGGTCCAAAATGCCACTTGTGAAAGATCCAGCTACTAAAAAAAGTTCTACCTCATCAAAAATGACTGAAAGACCAAAGGTGTCCTTCGGACCCTATGTAGAGAAACGCAGACCTGCACCTGGAAAACAGGAGGATTTCCCCAAACAAACCAGACATGTGGCCAAGGGACATTTCACCCCCAATCCTGGTACAGAACTGAATATCTACATTCAACATGATCCACTGACCGAAAGTCACACACATCAAAATTTAGTTTTCTTGTTATGTTGATGAATTGTGTATTTTCTTCCAGATCAAAGTCAGCATCTTTGTTCTTCATTTGTTAACATCCGACCTCCCAGTCCACATCGTCCTGGTTTGAATCTGTCTGACCCCTCTAACCCCATCTTACATCCTCCAAGACTGACCTACTCTAGCTTCAACAAGACAGAAGGGGGCTCTAGCTCGCTGCAGCAAGAGGAAATGAGTAAAAAGGTTGGAGGTTTTCAGTTTTTGACTAATCTGTGCACTGAATCATGAATAGTTCCTCCCTTCAAGAACAAATCATATTTGATGTTGTTTTGCTCCTGATATCAACTTACAGTATCTCTGAATTTATCTTGCAGGGTAGTTACAGGAAACCCCTAGAGATGCTTCTCAATCTTGTGGACAAACACTGGAAAGGAGAGAGGTCACTGCATCAAAACAACAACTTCCTGTGTGAGTTTGGTTTTGGGAATGTGGCCTCCACTTACTGATAATGAATATCTTCTCATCATTTCTATATTTGGCTCTAGCTCAGGCAGTCCAGATCCTCTCTATGATGGAAAACGATATTTCAAGTCGGGAGGCTGAGGTCAGGACCTTAAGACGGGAAGCTGGCGCACTGAGCTTCCAAGTGGCTGCACGAGAGGAAGAGCACAAAACTGAAGTCCGTAACCTCTCTGCTCAGCTGGAGGAAACTCGCTCTGCAGTTGTGAGTGGATTCAGCTCTCGAAATCAATCTTTAGCTCCAGGAAACCCTCATGCAAAGCATGCAGTGTTTATTGTCTTACTTCATCATAGGGCAAACTCAATGAGCAGCTGAGGATTGTCTTGGAGGAAAACGTCGCTCTACAGAAACAGCTCATCAAGTTAGAGCGACAGTATCTCAAGTCTATGATGAAAAGTTCACCTGTTACTCAGATTAAAGGTGGGTGCAAATCCCAGTGGGAAATACATCTGAACATTTAGCTGTTTTCCTTACACTGTACTCACACTTGCACATCCCCAGAGGCTCAGACAGAAGTGGAGGAGCTGAGGAAAGAGATTGTTGGGCTGAGGGAGAAAGTGCACGAGGCTGAGAAAGTCAAGGAATCGTCAGATATACTGCAAGAAAGCCAGGTGAGAAGATTCCCCCATTTGAACGTTGGCACTCTCATCTAAATGGTTTCTGCTCTGTTGGTTGTTTATGTGATGTGGATGTGGTTGTGTACGTGCTGCAGGTCCCTGGTGGCTACCACTGAAGGTTTGCTAGCTGAGCTGAAAGGAAGGGAGGAATGTTAAAGAAGCATTCGAATGAGGAGATACACGGGTATGAAAATATGTGTCATTGCAGTAACTGCATGAGGCCCGGCAGCAAAAAAAGAGTGTTTTTGATTCATTTTTAATTTATTTATTGTCCTTTCAATGTACATTTCATTTTTGATTGTAGCAAGTTTACAGCTGATTCCATAAATGTTTATTATTTCCAGAAAATATGTATAGAGTGTGTTTGCTTAATGGAAACAATGACAGGAAAAGGCAATTCATTCAAGCATGGTTGTGCATAATACTGTGACAAGGCCGCAACTCTAACAAATGATTTAAGAGGAAAAAATGTTAGAGAGAAGGTCACGATGTACTTCCTGGATCAGTAGCAAGATTGCGTCTCTCTTGGCAGTTTTTTTTAATGTTTTTAGGTCAGTTGTGTCTCCATCTGCTTTGTACACTGCAGTGGAATGAATGCATCTAGATTCCAGCTGCACTGTGACTTTATTTATACCTCTGCCTTAGGGCTGGAGAACTACGCACACATGCACTTTTCTCTGGCAGACGCTAATGCAGGTCCTGGCAAATCAGGTTAGACTGTGGACTCTGCATAAACTCAGCTGAATATAGCTTTTATTCTCGTGTGAATGGTACACGTCACTGGTTGGTGGAGCTTCACAGTGTTCCTGGAAAAAGCCATAATAAATATAAAACACGATATTTTGAATGATTTTTTTATTTTCAATAAAGCACTACAAATCAAGAACACACATTAAGAGGTCTAAAGAACAAGAACAAAAACACGCTGCATGCACCAGGGCACAACAGTACATTAAAAGTTATCAAATCAAATAAGACAGTATCGATCCTCCACATTAAAGGTGCACAGTATTTGGCATTAAGCACAGAAAACAGATCATACTTAAGCTACTGCAGCAGACAAAAACTAACACACCGACTGCTAGTTTTTAACTTGGTGCCTGATTCTTCAGGAGCTGAGGCTACCGGTAGTTTGTGACGAGTGCAGCAGAAACACTGTCACTATGCTGGAAAAATATTATTCTATAAAAGTTTATTACCTGTTTGCAATTTTCCCTTTATCTCATAGAGTATGCAGTACGTCAGGATCCAACAGTAAAAAAGCATCCCTTTGTATTTAGTTGTGATTTGGATGACAGTACCACACATGAAATGTCCTCTCAATCTTTATCATTAGACAAATAGAATTAGTGTGGCTGACTTTGTACATGTACAAATTTATACATATTGATTTCAAGCAGTACAATATTTTATCTGATCTATGACGGAGTGTTGGGGCCATTTTGAAGAAAAAAAACGTCATATTTCAAGAATAAAGTCATAATCGAGAGAAAAGTCAAAATATTACAAGAATAAATTCAAAATTTAACGAGAATTTTATTTTATTACGACAGTAAAGTCGCAATAGGTTCCTCTTCTTCTTGCTCCTTAATCTTGAACCAATCTCATTGTTTATTGAGAAACAGCAACCTATTTGAATCTCACACAGATGTAACCAACGACCTCACAACCGAACATTTCCTCCTCCATTAAAGAGGCAACTTCCTCCAAGTCTGTGGGGTTCTTTCATCAGAATAGTTTCTTACACAATCTTTTCAATGTCTTGATACTTATAATGAATTTGTTCTGATTTGCAAAATTATTTAATATTTTGCTATTTGTGAATGTACTAAACAAGATGCTCCACATTCCTCCTTTTAACACAGGCAACAGGCCGATCTTCTAATATTCTCTGCCTGAGATTATGATTTTTTTCTCATAAAATTATGACTTTATTCTTGTAATAAAATGAATGTATTCTTAAAATCGGTTCTCTTGTATTTCCCCTTTAAGTGGCCCTAATACTCCATCATAATGATCTCACAATGTCATCCCTTAATATATTTTTTAGCTAGAAAAAAATTAAGTCTGTCCAGTAGTCTGTCTTCACAGCAGGCACAGCAGTTAAGATAAGATATGACAAACTCCTACTGTCATCTATATGCATCTGAATCATATGCAATATACAGAACATGCACAAAGTACAGCAATACAGGAAAAAAATACAAAGCCAGTGTCATAAATTAAGCCATGTGGCTTTAACGTTTTAGAATATACACAATCTTACCACAAATATATTAGAACTACTGTATAGAAATCTAATTGAGGGAGTAACAATATAAGAGAAAATACAATCTTGTACAACCGAGCTCATCTACTGTGGTTAGAGCTTCCTTCAACTGGATTCACCAATTTAATACTTGACATGCATGTTAGCCAAACTGTTTGTTTGGTGAATGAACTCTGATTTACAAAACTGGCAAAAAACTTTTTGTTCAAACAGTTAAAAACAGGCCCTTTTTGTTTTTTGTGCTTTTGTTGTATTCACGGAAGAAAACCAATCTGTCATAATCTTAATTTAAAGATGGTTGAGAAAGCTTTTATAATACTGTATCTGTCTTGGTCTGACCTCAAGGCAAATTATTCAGATGACAATGTGAGCTTGTGTAATGAAATTAAATGAACAGTAGATTTTACAGACGGTTGACAAGAGGGGAGGGCAGACAAAGGATTAAGAGGGGATGGAATCAACAATAGAAGTTTTTCAAAAGTAATAACAAAACAACAAAAAGGATAACATCTTGTCAAAAGTGTGCCAATTATCGAAACAAATTAAAGATGCGTTTCTTCAGGTAAATCTGGGAATAGAAACATTACCATTAAAAAGTGCAATGTTGTTGATTCATCAAAACTTTATTCTGCTGTTCTTGGCATGTTGTCGTTCTTTGTGCTCAATAAATATAGTAAGGCCCTATCATAACAACAAAGCTTCAATGTTCATAGAATGGTTTGTTCTCTTCAGTGTTGGCAGTAACTCGCTCTCTGACAGGAATGTACCAGCTGGTGATGACTTTGTAAAAATAGATGTAAACAATTTTCCAGTTCTCACACTTGACAAAGAGAGGAACTAAAAAAAACATCTCTCTCTTGCACACACACAGATACACACACACTCAGCCACACGCACGCACTAAATAAATGGGCGGGAAAATGTATGAAATCATTTTTCTTTTGTGCTTTCTTTGAGTACTCTTCTTTATTTTTTTAAATAAAAAACGATCCTCAAATGTTTATTTCCTCTTTAAACAGTTGGTTTATTGATTTTCTTTTCATACGACCCTCGATGTTTGTATCCCGAGACGTATCCGGAAGTGTCAACTATGTCTACCCGTCCCGCCTTACCCTTCCCACGGCCGGTGCCGTCAAAACGCTCCTTGTGTGACCCTGTAAACTTGGTGGTGTCCGTAAGGCGGCTCACTGTCGGGGAAGCCACGGCTCTCTGTAGGAAAACATTTGTGTTTATGTTGTCATCGCTCGTACAAATGGATGTAATGTGTAATGACATCAGTATTATTCCCGTTGCGAGTCTTACCGTGACTCCTGCAATGACAGGTGCCTTCCCTTCGATCTGCTTGAACACCTCGGCCTCGGCCTCCTCTCCCGTCTTCTCTTTGTATTTCTTCCTGGCCAGCTCTCCGAGTGCAACTTTGAACTCGTCATATGTGATGGTGCGACAGGATTTCTTCCTGAAATGTGGGTGGAAAAAGAGCTTAAGAACGGGATAACACTTGTCACAGTGCAGTGCACAAAACCCCGAAAGACGTATGGAGATTTGTCTTTGGACAAAGAAATCGCTGTGTTTCACATCGCTTTGTCAGCAGCTCTTCTCTACTTCCTCTCAGTCTGAAAGTATAAAACGAGAGCAGGCGGTGGTGTCCATGCAGCCATGTGTGATCACTTCAGTGCAGCAGATGTAAGACAGCATAGAGATGGTATCCTACTGAGATAAACACTGAGAAAACTTTTACTGTTTGGATCTTGTCTCCCAGTGTTTCTCAGTACTTCACTGTCGTCTGAGCAACTCTTCAGACTTACACACACACAGCTGTAGGCTGTATATGTGAATGTCTCTTCATATTATTTATCATATTGCGTTGAGCTGTATAACTCAGGGCCCAGAGCCCTGATGTTTCTCATTCAAGCTGTCTAATAAGGACATGTAGACCTGCTGAACGGTGTTGTGAGGCACTGCGTTTTCATGTAGAAGCTCAATCTGTTGTAACCACTAACCAATACCAAGCCACAGATCATCATCAGTCATTCTCCTTCTGAGTGAGCTCTTCTTGTTTAACTGGCCATTTGCCCAATTCACTTCCACATTAAAAGTGCATAGTAACACAAACACAAACAGCCATTGCTGTGGTGATAGGTTGCCTAAACAACAGCCAATAAATCCAGCAATCTCCCCTGGCAACCTGCTGTCATAGCAACAAGCTGCAATAAACAGGGATGTTTGGGTTTATTATTAATTTGACTCATCCAGTGAACGGTCGTGTTTGGGCGATCCATCACTGTTGAACATATGCAAGCTCCATTCCTCTGCGCCTGTTCAGTGCTGTGTATTGTCAGAGGGAAATCTGGACTTCCAGCTGCTGTCTCTGTTCGAGGGAGATAAGTTTGACTCCTCTGCAGACCTCTCCATACCGAACATTAGATTCTCCAAAGTATACAAATAGTTAAACAGTGTAAGTGTGCTGTAAAAATAGAAAATCTGAGGAGGCTGAGATGAGGTTAAAAAGGACAAATGTTCAGTGGGCAAGAGGAGCTTTATTTTAGTTTGGAATACTGATGACCTTCTGTATATATCAGGGGCTCAACTGTCTGCTGCACATGATCCACATGGTAAATGGATTGTATTGATATTGTGCTTTCACTACGGTGGCCCTGAGGAGCAAATCAGAACGACAACTGTGAAAAAACAAATCAGAAAAAAAATTATGATAAACTTGTATGTCACTATTTTTTTATTTATTTGTTTTGTGTTTTCCCATTTTTCATTCTGATTTGCACCTCAGGGCCACCATACACACTACAAATCACATTCACATATTAACACAATGCTACTATATGCAGGTATTTCTATCACACACCATTAATTTCAGGGCAGTTTGTGGTTCAGTGTATTGCCCAAGGACACTTTGACATGCAGAATCGAACCACCGACCATCTGGATAGGGTACTACCTCCTGAACTGCAGCCGCTCCTGTACGGATCTGATATAATACTGTAGCTGGTTGAATCTGCACAATGCTCGTGCATCACCTTCACTCATGTTCAGTGACGAGGAAAAACCACAGAAGCCACCATCAGATCGTGCTTGGAGTTAATTAGTCCATTCCAGATTTCTACCTCATCCATTGTTTATGCTGTGGTGTTCTTTGGCTCCAAGCAGCCACACAGCACATCAGAGCCTCAATGTGGTGCAGCAGACCTCCACTATAAATCAGGGTTAGTTCAGCCGTGATTAGCCAGTGCTCATTAAGATGTTTAATTTTTTCATGTGTAAGCAAAGAGCTATGACACTGATTAAAAGGAGAGTGGAGATCTGCTCCTCTGACATGGCAGCGCTCCCTGACTCAGTTATGCCTCGAGTCAGAAACTACATGAAAATGAGCCCCTCCCCCAGTTTGTACTGCTTTTTATCCTGTGGCTGCCTCTGAAGCAAACACACACACACGCTTTATTCAGATTTGCCTTTACTATCTTGTTCAACACTCTGCGTCTGCAGAGCTTATTAAGGCTGGTTCAAATTGCATGCTGGGATATTGTAGGACCCTGATTAGGGCCTGTAGGCCTCAACAACCCCAAACACACACCCAAGGACAGAATGGATACAACTATGCACAGATTGGCCACAAAAAGTGTTTGTGAAAAGATGTGGAACTCATTAAATGTGTATTGTGGTTACACCATATTGTTGTTGCTCACCAACAAGCAGGATGTAAACAAGCTTAAATCCTACCTTCAACGTAAAGTTCCTTCTCTAGTCTGGCCTAGAAAAATGCTCAGAGCAGTAAACATGAACGCAATATCATGCCAGCAGTGGAGGTTTTGATGTGGAGGAGTCAGGAAAACAAGAATACTTCCAGAACATTGTTGTAGAGAACAGTGGTGTCTGAAATAATGAAGTGATGTTTGGATGTTCATAGAAAACCTGCAGAATCTCGGAGTGCACTTTATTGTTGCTTATCATCTCAACCCTTCCACCTAGGTTTATGGTTTATTTGTTTTAAATAAACTAGAAGAAGAACGAAATGAGCTTGAACAATTTTCAGAATATTTTCCATGATTTGTGGCTTTGCTCAAAGCTATAGACTTAGCAAGGAATGATTTACATGTCCACTTTACTAAATCACTATGAGCATTGATGTTGGATATATAATTGTGGCCCCTTATCTGGCCCCTGATTTTGAAAAATTCAGGATACACCACTGGAAAGAGCCGCTGCTGTCTCAAATTTCTTTGCTTCAGTCTGCATATTTCATTCTCCGTTGTTATTGCCTGCAGCCAAATTCTATTTATCTTTCAGCATCTTGTTGTGAAAGAGCATTGTTAGGGTGTTAGGATCGCTTTTCATGAGCCACAAGTTCTTTATGTGAAAGAATGAGGTTTAGAAATGCCATGGACTATATTTTATAATGCTGGATATTAGATGAAGGTTCCAGCATCTGAAGCCGTATGTGTGACCCTGACTGAGGACTGAATCCAGCCATGACAATTTTCTTTTCATTTAGGGACCTTCTTTGCATGTGTTTGCTTGGGGTGCAAATAAATCAGACCTGACAATACAAAGCCATTTTAGTTTACACTGCACTGTTTGTTGATAGTAATAGTAGTCAGTTGGTCTGAGTTCCCTGGAAATATATTCCAAATGACTAGCAGCCTTTTGAAACGGCCCTTTTATCTTTCCCAATCACACGACAGGAACAAACAGTTTCAACAAGAAAAATAACACTAAAAACCATTTTGGAATCTCTTTTAAATGTGTGTACACAAAATGACTGAGATTGACTTTTGGTTACACACCAGCAGAAGATGGAAAAATCCACTAAATCAGTGTGAGCTTCCTAAGCAACCTGTCTTCTCCTGTAGGAATATGTGATGATGAGTGGCCTCCAGCCTTTCTCCTCTATTCTGGCGCTGTCGAGCAGAATCATTAATTCACTTCATTCAACCAAGATAAAAAAAAACTGCTGCTTCGTGTATGAATGAATATCTCCAGAATAGCCCCACACACGGACAAACCCACATTGTAAAAGCCTTGTCCTTTCTTACAACCTCTTTATTCTGTGGTGCTTAGGGACAAATGTATGAACGTTACTATCTAATGTGTGGAACATATCTACACTCATCTGTCAATGTGTTATCAGCACATAACGGTTTGCAGACGCTCGGTACACCCTGTAAACATAAGCACGGCTGTACAGATAAAAAGTTCTCTCTTTTGGTCAAATAACATTGAGGTCACAGCTTATTATTAGACTCTACACAAATCAAGCAGCAAAGGATGAATCAACGCAGCCTGAGGAAATACAAGTTGAGCCACCGTGGCCTCTTGCTCTGGCTGCTGTTTTCTGACAGACACTTCCGCCCCAGGCCAACGTCATACAATAAAGAATAGTAACACAGCCTGAAAGTGTAGTTTTCCATAGCTAAAAGATATGTGTCTCTGATTTTTACCTCCACTAAGGTGGTTGTGTTTTGTCTTCATTTGTTGATCTATTTGTTGATTAGCAGGATTACGCAAAAAACGACTCATGATTTCCATGGAATTTTCTGGAGGGGTGAGACATTTACCCAAGAAAGAAACAGTAACATTTAGCTGTGGATCCAGATCAGGGGGTGGATCCAGGAAATAGTTTTTTTCACTTTGGGCAATTTTCATTGATTTCTCAGAGAATTATTCATTGACCTTAATGAAAAAAACTGTTTAGGGGACTGATATTTATGAGCTTGTGTAATTTGGTGCAGATCCAAATAAGAATCCAGATCTAGTGAAATACTGACTGGTGCCAAAGTTTTGTACTCAGTGAATCTATATGAGCAGTGTACAGTAAGATCAGTGCTTCTTTCACTTGACTGCTGTTAAAGACAAGGCCATAGATTTAATTCTATGGAAATTAATGTAACAACAAACACATCCTTCATCATTCGTTACAGCTATAGTTCAGTCCTGAGCCGGGTTTCTTCTCCGATTATTTTCTACCACAATGCTCCACATAAGTGACCTTTTGGGTATCGAGATGACTAAACCTGTAAAGTAGAATTATGTGATAAAAGAATACAGTCATGTAGTGGCACGTCAGTCACTACATCTTAGCTGGCCCAGGTGTTGGCAGATTAAACTCCTACTGAAAATGATTTCACAATATTCAGTCTTTAGAGAACAACACATTCGGTTTCTCTCTTACTTGACTTTGCTGAAGACAATGTCCACGTCAGTCAGGGTGATGTTCTTGCCGTCGATCACACCACAGTCCTTGCAGAGTTTGGACCAGTTCTTGCCATGCAGCTCCTTGCCGGTAGCGCGAGTGTCGCCGTGGATGGCGAAGCGTCGAAACGACTCCTCCAAGGCGGTGATCTCCACGGGCGTGGAGGAACCTGCACCTCCATCACTGGTCCCGTTCGACTCGATCGAAAGCCTTTTAGACGCTCGGTCTTTGGAGTGTTCACTGTGCGCCCGTAAAGGGGCTGAGCTGATGTTGGTATGCTTGGCTGTCTGTACTTTAAAGTCATCTATGTTGTCTCTGAGAGGGGGAAGAAATGACAACATCATCTGACTATTCATTCAGCGAACAACTTAAAGTTATACAAAGGAAAAAACAAACTTTCAAACCATATATTAGAACAGTCAGAATGCAAAAGGTCTGTAAAACAACACAAATGATTTGTCAAGAGCAGCCACTATGGGGCATGTAGCAACATTAAATGATTCCTATCAAAATGTTTAGTAAAGGCTGAAGGAACTTATTAAAATCAAAAGACATTGGACACTTCAAAGGAAGAGGAGGATTTTCACCAGAAACATGTCTGGTCTCCCGCTGCTCGACCAGATTTACAACAATCTTTGCTGCAGAATGTAAACAATCCAACACGCCGAAGGGTCAAGACAGAACTTGCTATACTTTGCCTCTAGTTGTCCCTTATTGTGCAGTACTTTGTTTATGTTACAGGCAAGATTAGACTCTCCAGAGGTGTGTCTCTGTAGCTGTGAAAGGACAGATGTCTTATGTATTCTGGCAGAGGTGAAGGATATAAATACACTGTAGACCTCTGTGGAATTCAAAGGCAAAGGAATCAAGAACCAAGGCGGCAGATGGGTATTTGAACTAATGTACAAAATGTGAGGTGAAGGCTCTTTTTTTAATGCTTAAACTTACTTCTGGTCTGCCATGCTTGTGCCGGAATTCACTTCCCTCTGTGCAGTGCTTGGATTAGCCGACTTTTTCTGATTTCTCTTTGTGCTGTGGAAGAAGATGAGAGTGCAGGTGAATAATGTGACAGGACGACAACAACAGCCAAAGGTGCAATACTCATCTGATCCTCTTTACTTTTTAATCAATGTGAACAAAATGAATAATGACATCATGTCTTTTCAAGTCTGACACACACAGACAGCTGAGACACATTAAAGGAAAATACTTCAGAGTGAGCACAACTCAAAAGCAGCAAGATCCTCTCAATCATCAAATTACTTCCAGACAGCTTCTTAATATTAGAAACTGATTGTTGTGACACATCTTTAAACGCTGTGCAACGACCTCTCTTGGTTTGGATGATTTCATTCACTCTGAGTACAGAGATTCCTCTCTGAATACATCATCCTCCAGATCTGCATGAAGAGAGCAGCAGGAAAGCAGCTTCTCAATTCAGCCTCTTGCCTCGACCATATCTTACTTTAGTCCGGAAGGGAAAATCAAGTTACTTTCATACAATAGCAATAAAAGTATTTCTATCAAGACAATTTAATCCTGCCGCATATCTATAGCAAGTGATGGTTCTCTGCTCACCTTTCAGCTGTTCCCATACTCAGCTCAGCATCATTAACGGACGTGTGTTGCGATGGCACCGCAACACACTTTCTAAAACTATTTGCCAATCGTTGAACTCGTTACTAAACAGACAAACAAGAGGCAGACCGGAGTGAGATGCTGTGTCCCCTCGACTTTAACGTCTGCTCCAGCTCGCAAAGTTTCCCCCGAGTCCCTCAAGTCACCAATAATGTTCTTTCACTCACCCTCACTCACCCCCACCCCCACAATGGCACCACCAAGGGTTTGTTTCCATGACCAACAATCACACACGTGACCTCGCTAAGTACAGTCGCCACTTAAATGGGTACAAAAGTTCCTAGATTGACGCTGCATAAAGCCATTATGATCAGGATGTCAATTCTTAGTGGGGAAAAAAGAGGAGATTATTAATCTGTATGAATAATGGCATTCAGAGCTACAGACACTGGGAACCCATTGTCCAAAGCGAGTGGCCTCCGTGTCTGACCTCTGCCCGTGTCTTCACACATACATGGTGACATCGCAGAGTGCCTCTATTGAGTTTCTGTGGTCATATGTCATCGAGGACTCGGGCCAAGACACTCGAGATGGAGTTACTATAGTTTGCTGAAGCTAGAAATCTTTATTGCATTATATTTTATACATTTTTTAAATTGTATTATTGATTATTCATGTATTAAGCGTTTGCATTTTTGCTGAAAAGTTTTATTCCATCAAGCAATGAAACTCTCTCTAGATGACTAGTTTAACACAGACAAACAAAATGACTCTGTTATAATATAATATATTTTTCTTACCATGCAACACGATCATAATTAATTTGCCAATTAATCACATTTTTCATTTGAATGATATTTTATCAGGTCTTAAGTCTCAAGATTGACTTATACATTTTCACAATGAATGCATTTATATTTGTGTACCTTTAAAAGGATAGCATTATTTTCTCTAACTTGTTTATATACCTCATGTTTACAACAGTGAAATTTAGCCAATAACAATGTGAGCAGTTACATTAAACAGAAATGTTTTTTTCACTGTGATTTGATTCCTAAAAAAACATATTTATACAGTAGTATTTACATTGTTATTCCATCCTCAAGAATTGACTCAAATTGACTAAAATAGCGATTCATTAAAACAAATTGTGTGTACAATTTATTTTTCTTTTAATTAATCTGTTCGATCATTGCCAATATTTAGCCTACTTAAAACATTTGCCACCAGTTTGCATCTTGTAAACTGTTTCAATCGTGACCATCTCTTTAGGTCATCACAAACTTCAATAGTTTTTAATGAAGTAGTTCAAACTATAAGTTTAATTATAAAATGATGGGAATTGTTTCACTTTTATAAAGTCACTGATGTTGGTTATTGACAAGGTTTTCAGTGGGTATCTCGACACCCTCTCAATAGAGTAAAGACCCACTGTGTGTTTTCCTTTGTGCGTCGACGACAGCAGTAAAATCCATGTGAGACAAAGGAATCTTTTCATCTTCCTCCTCCAATTTCTAGTCAGTAGCTTCAAGTGTCTAAGTCCTCAAACACATCATGTTCAATAAGAGAAGAAGAGAGGTCATTAACACTGTGTAACACTGTGCTGAGTTCCATGGTCTTAGACTAGACATAGGCTGATTATTTGATTGAATTAATTTGATAATTAAGAATAATGCTGCACTGCATTTAATACATGCATTAAAAACCACAGAGGATAAAATCACAATAAAGCCTTAAGGCTTATCTCTTTTGTATTCCATTGATACCATCTATTCTATACATGTATCTATGGAAAGAATACCATTCTGTACAATATTTGCCTTACCGCAGTTTTATTGAGTTATTTCTGTGTAATTAAAAGCTTTGCATGCATATGTTTTAACAATAATTAGCCAAATACAGCTATAATTTCTCTACACATTCGTCCAGTGCTTTTTTTCTGCCCCACTTTGCCACAAACACAGAAGACGCCATTTGGTTAAGGGCAGATCTCCAGAGACAAATCTGTGACTGGATGACAGCATGCTTACATACACTCGCCTTCTGGCAATACACTGCACAGATGAGTGCTTTAACCATAAATTGACCCATTTTTACTGCATCTATTCATAGCAACAATACGCTGCCATGACTGGAACATTCTTTTCATTCTCCAGGTTGGAGATCAGCTGGTAGACAACATACATGCTCAAACACACACAAAAAAACAAAATGTTTGTGATTTAACTCTAGTTTCGGCAGATGGTGTTTAACTCACAAAATGATGACACTGTTGCCAGAGTGATGTAATGTGTGAGAGAGAGAGAGAGTTTGTGAGTAGCCTCCTCCTCTATCATGCCATCACGGTGAGTGCGCCTGCAGAGAGCCCATCTGTTTTCAGTATCCTTTCCAGGCAGCTGCTCCGTGACCGTGTCAGTCAATCATACAAGTAAAACCGCTGCACTGACACACATCGGTCTGCTCAAGACTGATCTAACTCTTATATAGCACATCATGTCTGGCAGCTTGTGCCATGACACGTGTCCTAATGAATGGGACAATCACTACTGTACAGCGTGAACCAACAAAGCGCCATCTTTACAGGATATGACTAGCAAAATTCAAAATTCCCTTATTGGTCAAAAAAGTCCATTAAATGAGCAGTAATTAATTGTTTTTACTTTGTGTCTGAAGCCTGATGTGTTTAACAACAAAGTTCCATCAATGACTCCCTGGGAAAACTGGGAAAATGTTGTAAAACCCCTATGTCACAAAAGAAAGGGAAAACTTCCTGGAACTGCATCCACACCAAAATTCACTGGGTTCTTCCCTTACCCATAATGCATCCCTCCCCCAGGTTTCATGGAAATACATCCAGTAGTTTTTGTGTAATCTTGCCTACATACAAACAAACCAACCAGCACACTGATGTTACAAACATAACCTCCTTCGCAGAGGTAACTACAATGGCACTCGGAAGAATAACATTCCTCCGGCAAGGCCAAAATTATTGTCTAGTTCTTATAGTAGAAATGAAAAATGAAATAGAAGTGGTCTTAAGTTAAGAAAGTAGAAAAAGAAAATCCTGGATCCACCCCTTAGTCTACACACAATTTTTTAAGGGTTCTTCCGAGGCCCAGGTCCCATCCCTCCACCTAGTTTAGTTGAAATTGGTTTAGTTGTGTGTTATTTAAAGTCACCGATCCTACTGTTCTAGGAGGGTTTGTGGCAGTTTAAGACACATGTCTGGTTAGATTCCAGTCTGGAGGGGTGTTTACAGCACGCCATGCCTCTCTCCCTACCCATGTTTCCTATCTGCATCTCCACTGTAAACAATCTAATGAAGGTTAAATGCTAAACATAAATACAACTAATAAATGTGCCCATGTGTGGATTGCTGTGAAGCCAAAAACAGTTCCCAACAAATGTTCCATTTACTCATGTTTGAGTAGAGAGAAAACTACAATACCCAGTTGTTTAGGAATTCTGTGTACACATTGTACTGCTTTTGATCTTTTGATGAATGGGCCTATACAAGAAATATAGCTTGCTGTAAGCTTTAGCATGGACTCCATGTTGTTTAAGGAGTGCACCATGTGACACCATCATACACAACCTCTTAACCCATTCCCAGTTCGGCCTCGTTCCTGACTCTCCCCCACCCCGACTCTCTCCCAAAAGACACAGGGAGCGAGAGGATGACATCAGTGCCGCTGCAGCCCAGGTCTGAGGTCACCGGCTCGCTGTCTCCGTCAGTCCTCGCCTCCCCACACCCTTTTAACTGCTCTGTGAGTCAAAGATTTTGGCAAGCGTCGTGGAGAAGAAAAACAAGACGCTTGAAACAAGCAACGGCAGTTATTGTTGGCAGCAGCAGCAGGCCAAATAGAGGTATAAGGCAGCGTAAAGAAAGCCTGGGAGTCCTTATGCAACCCCACATTCGAGAGGAAAACGTGATGCCAGAGACAGCACAAGTGTCGGGCCAACAGCAAATTAGTTGTGAGTGGAGCCTTTTTAAAAGATGTTTGGAAGCCAGACTGTGTTGTATAACGTCTCAATAAATTAATTAAAGGTAACTCGTTTTAAAGTCTTTACAATGTCCTGGAAATGTCATGTAATGCCCATATAAGAAACCCTCTATTATCCAACACAATGAAACAGTGAGACACACAAATACTCCCTTGTGTTAAAGTCAACATGGAAAAATATAAATCCCCCTTTGTTTTTTGAGTAAAAACGCCATCAGACAACATCACTTCATCACTACGCCTGTCAACAATCATTTTAATTTCAAGCCTTACCTAAATTCATGTCATCAAAAACAAAATGGGATGATTTACACTCTGATGCTAATCGTTTGTGTCAGAAACCAAAGGCTCTCGGACCAGTGCAATGAAACCTAGAACAATGAAATCTGGGACAAACTCTGCGACTGTGTCTTCTTCTCATGCGTATCTAATTCAACCTATGGGGAGAACATGGCTGCACAGCCTCACTGAGAGAAAATAAACACATTAGCTTCCCTATGGTGGAGGTGCTCCGACTTTTATTACCATCAGAATACATCAAATACCTTTTCTGCAGGTACTGACCACATAATTTAACGTAATATTTAGCAGTACTAAATTGCAATTAACCCATCTATGCTTTCAATTGACATTGTGTTCATTTATTCTTCCTTGCAGAAACAGAACATGTTGAAGTCTGTCCATGCACATGCCTCATTAGTCTATTTCTCAGCTCTTGAATTCAGACTGTAGCTGCAGAGCATCAGGAAGCTAATAAAAGAGGGCACAATTTTTTTTCAGGCATAATTACGTAACTACCTCTATGCAACCCACAGAGGCTGCAGCCACGGGCCAAACGCATTGTCAATCATCGTCTCTGACCAATAATGGTGCTTATTGGAGAGCCCCCGTTTAGAAGATAAACAGCAGAGAAAAAAAAACACCCTGATGTTTATGTTAGCAGTCACTGCTGCAGCTGCTGGTTTCAAACCTCCGTGTCTCAGCGGGGAGTCTTTAGAGAAACGTTACATAAACATGCAAAAATGTCAGATTCACACTCACAGTCCACGTGATCCGTTTGTTATTGTCAGCACCTATAGTCCACGTCTGCCAGAGGCATCACAGGCAGATCCCTGAAGATTTGAATCGAGCATATATAGGCACAGCATGCAGCCACATGTGTTTACAACTGAAAATGCATCTTATCCTGCAAGATCAATATTAATGAAGCACACAGAGACATGCAAACTCAGCAAAAAGAATCAGGAAGAAGGTGAATGTTTAAATCTGGCATTGTCAGTATAAACTCCTTCATCTTTCTACAACGAGACAGGAAATTGCCTCTAGTGACAAATGCATGAAGTCAAATTCAGCTTTAATCACCTGGTGAAGAAATCCTCCGCCTGCTTGTTATTTTTCACACAACCATAACGTGTCGTCCTGCAAGTGTTGCTCAGACTCTGCGTCCCCTCGCGGCTCCTGAGCTCGACTTTGCCCGATGCCTCAGACCCAGAGATGCTGAAGAGAAACCAGCCCGCTGATTGGCTGCCGCCGAGCGCGACGAGCCGCTCTCTCCTCTCCTCGTCGACGCGATGTGGAGCTGAGATGGTGTCTCCGTGCTCTGTGGAGGGCTGGTAAACAAGAGCTGCGAGCATCTGGGGGCTGCGGGATGTAAACAAAGGGACGGGGAAGGTTTTGTGCGCACGGATCATCAATAAACAACCAGTGAAAGTGCATGAGCATCAGAGTCACGCACACACAGAGAAGCAATGAAAGCAGAATATTTTAAAGATTTGAGTTCACCCTGGTGTCTTGAGGCTGCTGGTGGATTAGACTGTAAGTGGCCTGAGAGCAATAGAGACTTTATATCATAATGACAAACTCTCTATTGGCAAAACACATTTAAAAAATCCTCAAATAATATACACAATTCTGCCCTTCATGGACGTGGATGGTTTTATGTATACGGATCATTGCAGCTTCATTAATGAGCACATAGTGGACGTGTATGAGCATCAGAGTCACACAAACACACAGAGAACCAATAAAAACAGAATCTACGTTTTGAGTTTTGAGCTCATCCTGATCACTAACTACAGACTTTATATAATAACTACACTTTATATAATAATGACAAACGCTCTATTGGCAAAACACAATCCCCTCAAAAATATACACAGTTCTGCCCAATGGACCTGACTCCTCTGATGTCCAACACACTCATGTGTTACACAACCAGTGGCAGCCTAATGTCTGGATGTGGAAGGACATTATATAAGCCCATAGCCACCCTCACGGTTCAAATGATAAAGTAGTAGCTGACTCTCACACATGCAACTCAAAGACAGAGGGACAGGGGTGAACATGATGCTTCTGAGTGCAGAGAGGAGGCTCAGATCTGTGACAGAGCTCACCATGATGAGAACAGACTGGTGTAAACACTTGATGATATAATATTCTTGAGCAAGAATTCAATTGCGCCACACTGTGGTGAGGTGTAGGTGTACAAAAGTCACTTTACTATCAGTCAACAGTTGAACAGACTCTGTGCTGTGTGTGAAATCAGGTTTTGCAATAAAAAAAACATTTTGGGGAAAAAATGACACAATGAGCTAATCTCATGATCTAATCTCATGATCAGAAACAGTTCCACCAAACTTATAAAGCACATACCATATAAGTGTAAGGCTCGGTTTCAACAATACAATATGAGAGTTGAAAATCTTTTCTCCAAGGCTTTTCCCCTAACTCAGGCCTCAAGCAGTTGTTGTTTCTCATGGTTTATTTACATAGAAAATAAATAGATATGGGAAATACTTACTATTTAAACATAATTTAGTTGTGTGAATGCAAAATGGACTGATAGTCTTATTTTGTTATTTCATACTGATTAACTCTGTTTGTTGCTTCTCCCACATAATTTGCCTCATAAACAAATAATAAATACAGAGAGATTATTTCTTAAGACTTGTGACAAAACAATACAGTACAATACAATACAGTGGAAATAGCAGGTACAGCAGGTGTAAATAACACAATCAGTGATGGCGTTCTATTAGCTGATTTGGTTTCAGCGTGGCGAGTATTGTGCATGAGGACTCATGGTCTCACTGTCAGGGCTTCCTAAAACACAGAAACCACAAGAGGGGACAGAGCTGAGTCATGGAACAGCTTTCGTATGTGCTGTGAAATAAAGGTCCATCAAGTAATTCAAGCCATGATAACAAATGACTGAACAATAGAGTTCTCCTCTATAAAGTATAGGAGGAAGAGACTGGCTCCATTACATGAGCACATAACAGATAGTTCTCTCTGAAATAAACAGATGAAACCTAACCCTAAACCACCCAGACCAACCCTTGTTAAACAATCAACATAAAAACACAACCCACCCAGTGTCTGCAGCCCTCTGGTGGGGAAAATATGGGACAGGTTACAAACACTTGAGCACAACAATTGAGTGGTCTCCTACATTTCATGTCTCAAAGTCTCAAATCAAATTAACAGATAAATAAATGAATAATTCATGTATCTTTTAAATTAAATCTGACTGTTCCTTTTAGGAACCAAACAGTGATGGGTTACTTACTGTGAAGGTTACAACATTTCAGGAGTCTGTAAAAGTGATAGATAAATATAAAATATAAATTTCAGTATACGCTCAGCTTTCCTTGCTTTGCCCCCAGGAATCAGGTCACCCTTCAGTGGCCCTTAAAAGGAGCTGTGAGCACAAAACCCTCCAGGTGCTGATGGAGCTAAAGAGCTGCAAAGCTAAATGCTGATTCGTTTGAGAACTGAGCAGATTTACTTACTGCATCAAAAAGTAGAAATACACTTTGACAGCCTCCTGGATGTGATAGCTGTTGCTAAACAGGGTGTTTTGCCAACTTAAACACAGTTGACAGTTGTACAAGATAGGACAATTTAGTTTATTTTCTTTGGGTCAATTCTTGTTAGTCCTGGTTGTGTATTCATCAAATCCTTATCTTTTAGACATACCCTGATGGCCAGCAACACATCTGAACTATCCCACTAAAATAACTGTGAATCACTCTGCTTTCAAACTGCTTATATGAAAGCCAATCAAATAGGATTTTTAGCCGATTTTTTTTTGCTGAACAAGCTCAGCAGCTATGGGCAAACCACTGTTTTGTGCCAAATTCAACCAGTTAATATCTGTTTAACTTAGAATATAAGACAGAAACTAGAAATACACACAGTCTGTTTATATAGTTTGCTATCAGATTCAGCTAAAAGTGACACTAAGCAGTGATGGCTTTGTGAAATCAACAGTGAACAGAAAGCTGAACTGCTGGACTTCATTTTCGAGCTTCTATCTGATCCACTACAGGAGTTAGAGGATGTGTTTTGACACATCCTCTAACTCCTGTAGAGGTTCTCTCTTTGGTCTCCAGATAAAATGACAGGGTGTAAATGCCTTGATGAAACCAATCTGGCTCAGAATATGAAAAGTAAACTCCAGTATTATGTTTCAGCTTTTAAGGAAGATGCCAAAATACGAGTTGTATCTATCTGACTCAGGTTGAATATGAATGTATGTGAGCTGGACCTTTTGTACAAGTCAGTGAGATCAAACCAGGCTTTAAATAATTCATCTGACATAAAAAGACATTGTAAATAAAAACACTTTTTTTTTTTTTAATTGCATAAAAAATGTCCACTAGATTAAAAAAAACTGTATCAAACTTTGAGGTGGCGTCGATGATGTCCTTTGTCCACGTCAATAATGTGTCCATGATCATCAGTTTCATGAGGCAAAGACTCATAATAAATGGTCCCTGAAAGCAGCATATCATCATTCCCTGCAGTTCATCAGACGTCAGTTCCTATCACGTGTCGTCTGGAGTCATAACTGAGCTGCCCAGAGGGTCCTGCACCACAGGAACACTGTCGACAGACTGCACACAGGGGCTCTGAGCCTCTTCATCAGCACCAGGCTTCCTGCATCTGATGTCATTTATTTCCCCTTTTATTCAAAGGAAACAAGACAGGAATAAGCACTACTTAAAAGCTTCATGAGCTAATGTTCTTTAAAAATGAACAAAGACATTCCTATAATTAATACTGTAAAACATATAATCTAATTATTGTTATCTTATTTGTTTAACTCAGTGAAAACCTAATTAAGATGGGATGAGTACAGTCAAATACTTACTTTCTGTGTCCTCAGTAGGATTTTCTGTGCCATAATGAAAACTATTCTCCTTTTCTGTTGATATCTTGAGGTTTTCCAGCTGTTTCAAAGAGAAATTAAAATGCTATATGACCCATTTAGTGCATGAAAAACATTTGAAAGGTTATTCATCCTTACCTCTGTACATATGGACCCAGGAATGATGCTGCTAAGTGGGACTCCATCATCAAATTTGCAGGAACTACAGAAAAAACAAAAGTCTTGAGCATCTTTCGCCACAAAATTAGCTTCAACGTTTTGTATATGTACCTATCTTTGTAAATTAGGTGTCTTGTAATCCGAAGAAGGGATGTGCCAAATGCATTGACATGACACAAAATAATAAATGTATGTATGTTAAATGTGTGTAACAAGAACTGTAAGGAATCAGATTTACCTTGAACTCTGTGATAACGCAGGCTCACAGTCAATTGAATGATCTTGGTTCTGTAAGAGAGGAAAAAACATGTTTTTGCAGACACAAATAAACATGTGATCAACAGTGAAAAGCAAAGAGCAGGTCTCACCTTGGGGTCCATGTTATGGGTTTTGGTATCATTCGAGTTTCCTGCTTCATTGTCCCTGATTCTAGCGTCTTTCTGGTGCTGCATCTTTACATAGTCATATGTGCTTATTCCTTTAGAAACTGAACAGACAGACAGAGGGACACTATGAGGTCAACTGAATGAGGAGAAAGAGACCTATCAAATGTCCATTTTAATGATTGTGACTTACAGAGGTAAAAGTGAAAACCTAGGAGATGACAGAGCAGCAGCAGGCAGACAATGCACAGCATCACTGTTATAAAGGCCAATATGAGGAGACCGGCTGAACTAGTCTTAATGGGTGCTAATGGTATAAACGCCAGCCAGGTCCCATTCCCCAGCATACCTGTAGAAACACACATAAAATGCTTTTAATGATGCAAATAACAGTAAGAAAATATGCAAATATGTTCCTGTGCCTAGGATGTAGTCAGATAAAGAAAGTTCAAAGGTTGTGGTGACTCACTACCAAACTGTGGAGCAGTTCTTAGAGTGTTTGGGTCCAGGTAATGCTGAATAAAGATGAAGAAGATGACAACAACAAGGAGGAAGGCCCCCATCGTAGCAGAGGACAGTGCCACAAAGAAGCACCTGAAGGCAGCGAACAAAACCTAGTATTAATATACAGGAACACGCCATAATTCATAGCTGTCAAACTACTTACCAGTAGTTTCTGCCACCCACGCAGTTGTTCAGCCATTTGCAATGGTGATCGAAGTCTTCCACACATTTGTTGCAAACACCACAGTGTTTTACTTTGGGGCCACTACACGAAGACAGATGAAGATTTAAACCATTAAAACACCTAGTATACTTACTGACTTGAAAAGTGAAATCTCATTAAGGTGTGTAGCTTTCAGTGAATACATACACCTTGACATCACATAGATAACAGTGCAAGTCCTGGATGACATGCAGCTGCTTTTTCCGATCAAAATGTGGCATTGGGCTGGAGTAGCTCGGTTTGGCCCTGACGCTGGCGTCCGCTGGGTCTATAGTGACAGCAGCAATGTGGGTGAGGAGGTGCACGATAAATGCTATGCCCGTCAGCTTTACAAAACTAGAGTCAAGAAAAATAGTACGAATAACAGACAAGCAGTAGAATGGGAATCAGTCGCACTCATAACTCTGCCAAGGCCCAACAGTCCCCTTATAAAACCACATTTAAATGCACCAAATGGCACAAACTCTTAAAAATCAGGCCCCTAAACATGCTTGGTTTTTTCATCAAGATCCATAAATCATTATCTGGGAAATCAATGAAAATGTTGAAATACACCCTGTCTCAAAATTTTTAAAAAGAGGAAAAATAATTCCTGGATCTGGTCCCTGATCCGGATCCACACCAAAATGTAATAGGGTCTTCCCTGATTAATACTTCATACTTCCACCAAGGGTATTCCAGTAGTTTGTGTAATCCTGCTAACTAACAAACAAATGCAGATGAAAACATCACTTCCTTGCTGCAGATAAAAACTCTGATAAATGTGCAATTAAGTCAAATAAAAACTGAACCAGAAACTAAAAGTAGAGCTTGGGTTAAATAAACTAGTGTTTTGGCATCATGCAGCATTCAACATGTGACAAAAGCACCAGTGATTATGTCTATTGGGCATAATAGAGAGAACAGAAACAGAGACAGAGTCATGTCTGATGTGACTGAAGGCCATACACAGAGCCCACACAACAACATCCTTGTCTTATGAAGCAACGGCACAAAGAAAACCATAGCAGGGGATAATGTCTGCTCCATATTCAGCTCTGAAAGAGCCTCTGCTGCACACTCAGCTACAATGACAGCCAGGTCTCAGCTGCGTGTTAAAGGATACGGAGTAGAGCACATGGTTCCACGGCAGAGGAAGAAGAGGGATGTAGATGCCGAAGCCGACTATGGCGAAGTAGCTGTACACCAACCAGCCGACCACTTGGAAGGCCTGAGGGGGCCACGACCACCCGTTCATCCTGGGAGGTTTGGAGGGAACCAGCTCATTTCTGCTGCTGCCCCGCATGGGAGATGTGCGTCTCCGGCTCTCACTGAAGCAGCTCATCTCTAGACAGGTGCCAGAAAACAACAAGACATAAGAGAAGAGACAGTCTGTAGAGTCTGTCCTCTAGCCCTCATCCACACACAGATTAACAAGTCAGTGAAGCTGCAGCAGAGTGCGTGGCCACATTTGCTGGGGAAATGAGTTAGGAAAATGAGCTGAGTGTTAATGATAGTGAATTAGCCACAAGTACCTTTAACATATAGAGCATACATTCACATGTATAAATAGAGTGGACTATATATCACAATGATTGAATACAGTGAATACAGAGTAACAGGTTTGCAATCTGTTACAACAAAAAAAACGATCTAATGACCTTGATAGGATGTATGGCTGGCCTTTTGTTATTATTCTTAGATGGGCGTACCCTATAACCTGGCAACTGTGTTCACAATGATTAAGGGTGTAGGAGGGTGTCTTATTCATCAAGACACCAGCAAATATAAATAAAGAGGATGATGATGTCACACATAGCTGAAAGAAAACAGCTGATTAACAGAAAAAAGAGCCAGACAGTGAAACATCCTAGTCTCTGTTAAAATGCCTTGTAATCACATGTTTTGCTTTTGACCTGATGTCTTACATAACCCTTGAGCTGCACTAAAACTCTCTTCTTATATGAGCTACAAACCAGTCAGATAAATAAATATATGAACTTAATGGCTTTTTGTGTTGTTAAAGTCAATTAATAAGCTAATGATTTTTGATAATCACTGAACTCCAAGTAAAAATAGGAAGAAACCCCTCTGGCTTTGAGTTTTGCTTTACAGCTAAAGCTACTAGTTAAATGTGAAAAACAATATTGTCTGTTTTTACAGTGGTTCACCTTTTATTTATGTGTAATCCACACAAAGATCATGGCTTAGAATCAACAACGTAAATCATGTCAGTGATAACCCTGTTGTTATAAGGAAAACAGGTTTGCATGAAGTTTTGGTTTTGTATGAGGAATACAGATGATGTACTTACTTTCTCAGGTGAAACGAATCGATGATTAGATTAAACAAATGTTCCTTTTAAAAATACAAACGCAGATTTCCACCGCTTGATTCTCTTCGATTAGTTTGTCAGCCGAGCAGGTACTTCAAAATAAAAAGTCGATTTCACATGATCGACACACACAAACCTGAGAGATAAAGAGAATCGATTAAAAAACAGACGTGGAGACGGATGGAAGCGCTCATCGTCCGTGTTTCTCCTGAGGACTCGAGTCAGAAGTTGAAGAATCAACTCACTCAGCAGGTCTGAGCAGCGCTATGGAAACCGTGCTGCCGCGCATGCGCGCTACAGCCCCGTTCAACACTGACTGATCACTGAGGCTGTTCACTGACTGAAAACACGGTCTGTCAAACTCTCACTTTTGTCTTCTTCAGCCCAGGAGAATAAAAGCAGACTTTGTTTACACCAGCAACAAGCAGCAAGTGCAAACACAGATAAGCACCCACGCACTTCTGCTTTAAAACGGCCCCTACTTTAATGGTTAACTTTTCTCTCCAAGTTTCTCATGTTGTATTATATAGCTTTATTCTTTCACTTCCCTATTCTGGTGACATCCTGCAATAATCTGAGACCTCAGGAGTCAGCAGTGCATCTTCCTATGCAGCTGGACGACCTTACAACATTGTCTCACTACAGATGTATTCATGCGTGCATTAATGGGTCGTCAGTTTCTGCATTTGGTGATGTCCAAAAAACAAACTACTAAACCGCACATTTATAAATACAGGTGCAATCGTTTATTTTTCAGATGCAAAAGAAACATACAATTACACAACAAACAGTCTGTACAATCATATTCAGTCCGTAAAACAGATTAGAGGCTCCTGCTGTCTCCACAGTGTTTAAACAGTCCAACAGAGCAGAGCGCTGTTAACACCAGGGTAAGAAATTGGCAGTGTGTGTGTGGTCAGCTGTTGGCAGAGCTCTCTGGCTCCGGAGATTGCAGGAACTCGTAGGGATCGTGAACCATTTCCGACTGGTCCCCAACACCCAGGTGTGATGGGCTCCCTGCGGATAAAAGAAAACATGGCTCTTAGGGTGCTGATGTTAATGTTGTGTGGAAAGCAATACAAATGTTGCAGAAGAGTGGAGGCTTAACATTTGGCTGACATTCACCAAGGAGCTGAGCAACATATGATGGAAGTTTACCTAGGTGGTGCTGGTCCCTCTCAGAGGCATTGGAGAGGGAGGAGAGGTTGGACGAGGGTCTGGAGCCGACTCTGTCGACCTGAGCCTCCTGGAACTCCTGCAGGAGTTTGTCTGCATCGTCAAAATGCTGCTGGCCCTCCTCATTCCCCGGCTCCTTTTTCACTGTTTTACCTGATTAAAAAAGGTAAAAGGACGATCAGTGTAGGAAATTAACTGAATGCAGAAGTGAAAAAGTCACGTATGCAAGTTTTTAAATGTATATCTTTTGCTAATAAATATGGGTTATTTCAATACAGGTAAAGGCACTAAATAGGTGAATGACCCTTTTTACATTGACCATTAACTTATGATTAAAGTGAACACTTGTAAAGCAACCTAAATGACAGAAGATAATCACCCAATGAGTTAAGCATGGAAATATCCAGGGACATATCAGGATAGCTCTTCATTGACATGAAGTCCAGGACTGAGCCGCTCTCTCCCAGGCCAGTGCCATCTGGCATCTGAAGAAAAACACACTGTGTTAGTCAGACAGTCAAGACAGTAAATACTACTTAGTGCAATGTTTATAAACTACAGCATACCTGTATGTCACAAATGTTGGATTTGGTTTCATCAGGTTTTAGCATCATGTTTCTTTTCTGAAACATGAAAGAAGTATAATTTACACAGATACACAGGTCCTACACCAAAGAAAACCAAATGTCTTACTGAGAGTGGGTGATGGATGTATAAGATTTTGATAATCTTTGTAAATTACTTAAGTACAAATCTGACATACCTGCCGGATCTGGTTAACAGCTTTAGTATGATCGTCTGCAGTCATCTTGTCCAAAAGACCATCAACCCAATGTTTGGTGACACTTCCACAGCCCTTGACAAACTCCTGTATACTGAAGAGTCATAAAGAAAATAAAAAAAATTACAAGCTGAAAGTGAAGATACTTTTATCTCTAGAAAGGTTAAGACCCAAGTCCTACCTAAGACAAAATAAAAATCCCTTACCTCAAAGCACATTGTACCCCTGTGTCATCTCCATAAGCTGAATAGAGCATGTCCACCTCATCAGGCAGCAAGTCTGGAAAGACGGAGTTCTTCTGAAGGCTCTGGGTGTTGTAAGCACTGCTCAGGAAGGTTACTACACAGAGCAAGATCAATCATAAGCCACTGACTTTTGAGAGTTTAAGTGACACACATGAATCAAATAAAAGAGTGCACTTTCACCTTTGTGTCTCCTGTCATCTTTGAAACCTAATGTTGTTAATCCAGGCAGAAGTTTATTTGACAGAGAGCTCAGGTCCACTTTATGAGTCTCCTCTTCTGCGAAAAACAGGACAAAATGCTTAATAAACTAAATTTACTGATTATACTAATATTGTGACGATCATAGAGAACATTGGGTTTTGAACGATGTTTAAAAGACCAGCAAAATGAAAGCAAACCTTCAGCATCAGGATCAAGCTGATTTACAACAGTATATAGAAGAGAACCATCTGATTCTTTGCGCAAGTGCCCCATCTGGAAAAATAGATGAGACAATTTATTGTCAATACACATATTAATGAGAATAACAATGACATAATCACATAGACACATCTTGATGTAATTAAAAATGAATCATCATCTAATAGTAGTGTGAATGTCTTTCTACTACTTCGTCATGATCTCATAAAATGCCCCCATAACCAGTAGGAATATTCTGTAAGAATTAAAGTGTATACACATTCAGTAAGTTTGAAAACCTTGGAGTTTGGCATGTATCGGTTGATGCGATCACGGGCTTCATCTGCAGAGTGTTCAACCAGAGCCAGGACATGCTCCTCTGCTGTGCTGTCAGTCAGGCTGCAAGCATTTCCCTCTGGTTCATACAGGTAACTGAGAAAACAGACATGACAATGGTACCAGATCATTACATTGACAGGATGCTGTATCACAAAGCCTCAGTAGGCGAATACAGAAAAAAATTCCCACTTAATTGAGAGTTTACAAAGAAGTTATACCTTATGACTTCCTTCATGTCTTTGACTGGTTGCTTCCTGGACTTCTTCGCTGATTCCACTGGGATGGGGATAATCTCTGTAGGAGTTTCATCAGCGGTTAGGTCTTCATCTCCCAAAATGGCTGCCTGCAGGGTGAAATCCATGTCTTGCATGAAAGACATGCTGCGTTTAAGAACTAACAGACGCTCCTGTACACAGAGCAGAGGAAAAGAGAAGGAAAACACTTAACTTGATCTGCCTGAGAGGAAATGAAAAGATTAGAAAGGAAAGGGATGAGAAAGACAGTAGGAAATTGTATAGGGAAAATAAGGTTTCTAATACTACATAAACTATAGTAGGGGAAACGTTTTTTGACCTGACGTCCATATAATCCCATTACCTTGCTCATCATCTTGAATCCTGTATGGAGCAGTTTCTTGGCAGCCTTATAGTACACAGTCTCTGGTCGGTTGTACACCATTGCATTGTCACACATCAGTTTAAAGTCCGCCTGAAGGTCAAAAGGTTTGCAAACAGGTATAGGTGAAAACACACTCTACATACACAGCAATCTTAAAGTTGATGATGCTCTCAAAATAAATATAAGAAATAAATATACTTCACCTTAAATTCTGTTACTGTGTTGTACTCATTGTCTCTAATCTTGTCTTTCATGGTGCTGAAGTCCATAGGATGTTTGATAATTGTTGAGTAACCAGGAGCAATCGCATCCGTTACAGGAAATGAGAAGAATCCATGGGGGTCTTTCCTGGAAGGACAAGTGATGCACCGGTGTTATTCAATAGCAGGTTTTAGATTAGTTTTGACTTGTATTTTCATGTGGAAGTTTTCATTATCTGTCACGTCTCTATGATCAATATGTATAGATTCTGCTCATGCTGGTATTTGGTAAATGAGAAGAAATAATGCAACCTTATTCACATTTCCCTTTGTGCAATTTATAGTAAATAAATCAGCTCTTCAAAAGAGTAGTGTACAAAAAAATTCCCTTCATGTCACGCCTACTCAAACAGACAAATTACAAATGCAAATTTTGCTGGTGAATGTTATGAAAATCAAAGGGCGTTGCCCACATTGGACCGTATGTGCTCAAATCATTTCATGTCAAACCAAATGAAGCATTGGACATTGCATGCAAAAACAAAAATTTGACCTGAAATTGGTTTAAAAAGAAAGCCCAATGTCCAAAGTGGGAAGGTCTTATGCTTTGAGCAACATTTTATGGCAATATGCACATTAATTAAAGACATCTATATTGTATAGGTTCCTGATAGTGTTTGATAAACAAGAAACGGTATACCCCCAAAACACCAGGATTCATTCTCAGGGACTAGTGTCAGCATATGAGCTTTGTAAATCATAACTCTTAAAAACAATGACAGATGGCTGACATTACACGTTTGCAAAAATTACATTAAATTAGCATTTCTCACCTCTGCAGCTGACGTAAGAAGTGCTCCAGCAGTTGTTGACGAGGTGTGCACTCATTCTCTGTGGTGGAAAAACACAAATATGGAACTTTTTAGATTTACGACTGAATAATTCCTTAAATGTCAAGTGATGAGATGTAATGTTTGCATCTCATAAGAATCTGATATTATGCCACTGGACAGGTTGTCTTACCTTGTTGTGTCCTGCATGCTCGGACTGGTCTGTCTCCCTGCTGCTCTACTTCCACCTTCACATTGGGGTGAAACTCCTCAACTTCAGGCTCTATTTCAAACCTCTCTTTCTTTTTCTTCTTCTCTTCCGGCTGATGAGAAACATATATGAGGTGAGTGATGAGACTAAGATGTCATTGAAAATGTAATGGTCATATTTTCAGGCTTACTCACCTCTAAGGAGATAGTTATAGTTTTCGGCAATGTAAAAGGCTCAACAGGGACACCAGTG